TGTCTTCAGCTTTGACAGTTAGCTCTTTCTGGCAGACAGATCTCTGGCAAAGACTTTGGCGCCTTGGTTCCGCTCGATCGCTTCTTCAATATGAGCTGTATTGAAGTTGCGTAAGTCCCGCCGCATGCATTTGGAGATGTGTCTGTTCAGTTGCCTATATGCTGTCAAATCTGTTGAAGAATGTAGCTTCATCTCCCGTCTAACAGCCATCAGATTAAGAGTGTGATCGGAGAGTTTTTGTGTTCTTCTGCGGCGGGTCTTGCAGAACTTAGCTCCGACCGCATGGACAGTTTCCACGAGCTTGTCATTCATATCGTCCACTGCATTGCAATTTCCTAGGCACTGAAAACGGTTTTGTCACTCGAGCTGAAAGGTTTCGGGACTTTGGATTAGAGCACGAGGGGGACGGAGCGTTGACTTCATTAGACGAGACCTCTCAAACTTAACGTTTAGGTTCAGTGTGCCTCTAACCATTCGGTGATCGCTGCCGGTTTTCACCCTCGCGATCACTGAGACGTCACTGAACTGATGTCGTCTGGTCGTCATAATGAAGTTAATCTCATTTTTTGTCGAACCGTAGGGGCTCGACCAGGTCCACTTCCTGTGGGGCCGCTTCTGGAAGAAAGAGTTCATCATAAAGAGTCTCTCTTTCTCCATGAAGTCGGCCAGCTGCTGGCCCCTTGGGTTCCGTTGCCCTATTCCAAATTTCCCTACTTTCAGCTCACCATTCTCTCTTGTGCCTAGTTTTGCATTGAAGTCTCCCATTAACACCGTATATTGGGTTTTGGAGGAATGCATGGCTCTAGATATATCCTCGTACATTTCCTCCACCTCCTCATCGGGGTGTGCCGAGGTTGGTGCGTAAACCTGTATGATCTTCAGCGAATACCGTTTGGTGATTCTGAGTATAAGGTACGCAACCCTCGTCGACACACTCAATCTTTACAACGTTGTTAACGAGAGACTTGTGGCCGATAAATCCGACACCTCCTTGGGACAGATGGTCGCCCTCCCGGTAATAGAGCAAGTTGCCGGATTCGAGGATTACCGTTTCCTCCCCCTCTCTTCGGACTTTGGATAATCCTATAATATGCCAGCGTAACTTGTCTATCTCTTCTTCCAGCTCCACAATCTTCTCGTCAGTCCTCAGGGTGTGTGCGTTGTATGTTGCCAGGTCGAGTCGTCTTAGGTGGCAACCGAACCTCCACCGGAGATTCTTAGCACCCCCTGCCCCGCCGTTACCATGGTCGCCACCATAGCCAGGAATAGCGGGGCCGCCGGGGACTGGGAGCCATCTCTTAGTAACTTTATCCATTTGGGGTGTATTTGCTATAGTTGCCACGCTTGGCGAGCGGGTTGGCAACCGCAGTTTTTTTATTGTATTTTTGCTGTTATCAGGAAGATGCTGCTGCGCATCTCCTGCCTGTTTCCCTTTATCGTCTTTTACGACACCCACGGGAAGATAAGGGGTAGTGGATATTCTTAACCGCCACTACACGGCAAATTAATTGTTTACTTCGTTTTATTGTCTTTTTTATATAGAAGAGTAGGACAAACGAGCATGCGGCTCACCTGATGGCAAGTGTCGACCACCGCCTATTAACAAATACAACACCAGGGGGATTGCAGGCGCGTTGCCGGCTTTTTAGAAAGGAGTAAGCTCGTTTCTTGAAACTCCCTAAGTCGTATCAGTCCGACAGTAGTGGACCGCCAAACATCCCGATGGTGTAGATTTGTGAAATGCGTTGATGCAATTTTGTGGCTGGAATTAATCCGAACAATTCCTTTGAACATTCCCCGTGGTAAATGCGATAGAAAATGCAATGGGATGCCACATATCTTCGTCTCGTCTTTAGTCTTCGTCGGTCGTAGACGATTCGGTACGCTCTGCGCTGGATGCGGTCTAGTGAAAGAAGCTGGTACTAGGGAACCCTGGCCCAAGGATGAGAACAATATTCCATGTTAGGCCGAACCTGTCCCCTGTAAAGTTGCAAGCAGTGTGCCGGCATAAAATACTGTCCCGCTTTGCTGAGCACGCCAAGCTTTTTAGAGGCCAATTCAGCCTTCCCTTTCAAGTGACCACGAAACTGCACGTTATTCGATATGTTAACGCCGAAGATTCCGACACTGGCTGAGGTAATGAGGGGAGTGCCCTAAAATTGAGTAATTACAACAAAGGGTTTTTTTAGTGGTAAACGCGCAAACTTGTGTCTTTTGGGCACTGAACTTAATTAGATTTAGTCGACCCAATCCGAGACCTTATGCGGCAAAAACTCGACTTCAGGCACAAGTTTGTTCCAGTACTCGGCAACAGTTTCCCGATAAATATAGGCACAGCCGGTGTATAAAGCATCACCAGTGCACGTTACTGGTTTGCAACATATTAAGCCGAAGAAACAGCGTAGGTGATAGCACGTAGCTTTGTGAAACACCAGCATAAATAGACTTCTAAATGGAGTACTCACCTTCTACTACGACTCTGTTGCTCCAATCTGCAAGAAAATTGCTGTATCAGTTGCACATATTCTCAGGAAGCCCATAGGAAAGGAGGTTCGAAAGAAAAGTGTCAAACCCGATGGTAGGCCTTTGCTATGTTCAAACTAAGGGCCAGGGTCTCCCTCTCTACCTCCACCGATTTATGAGTCAGGTAAGCCAGAAGATCACCAGCTGAGCATCCCCGAAGGAAACCGTATATCGTACTGGCGGTCACTTTTCAGTTGGTGATCCTCAACCTCATGAGCTTGATGATTCACTATGGTTTTCATTATTTTGGAGAACAAGTTGCATAGGTCTGAGCGGTTGATGTTCGGTTATTTTTTGATCTGGTGCACTAAACTGTCTTCTTTGAGTTCTGGATTACGCCTAGGGAGAACGTTTTAGAAAAGACACGTTTCGACCGGTGCCAACCAGAGAGCACACGTCTTCAGCACAATGGGAGGAACTCCATCAGGCCCACTCAACTTGACGTCTAGGGAGAATAGTGCTATCGAGCGCTGTATAAACCGTATCGTACCGACGTGAAGGCGCAATTATACTTCTTTTTAAAAGCACTGATGAAGTAATCCTATTAAAGCGCGACTAAACCAGGCATTACAGATGATAGAATAAAGGGTTCCATCCCCTGAAGTACCACATCAGCGACAGAATCACGTTGGAATCATCCATCGAGAAGCATACCCTCCCCTGTCCTCAAGGAAAGGATGCAAAAAAGACCGCATCCTATCCCAATCGGCCAATCTATTGTGCCAAACACGGCGGCGATCTGCAGAACGCAACCGCGATGTTAGTGTGACACCATAGTCCGGATCGGACAATGGTCCAATGTGCCAAGATGGACGTCGACGGAGACCTGATTTCCGTCCAGATGAGAGGTCAGCAGAAGGTACTACAGGGAAGGTGCATGATCCTCTAGATTTAGAATCCGCGTAGGTGAAGTAACCATTTGTGTCGGACCATATGCCAAGGCAAAGTCATAAACAGATCTTGCCATATGATCGGTTAAACAAGAACCAAGCCATTCAGCGTGGAGTACGTTAAAATCACCAATGATCACGATCTCTGCAGATGGGATTTGTTGTAGCACGGAGTCTGCAACGATTTGGACGTGGTCGATGAGTTGGTCTGTGTCAGTATTACCTATAGAGGCAACCGTAGACGCGAGGATGGTTGTCGCTGACCTTCAAGACTGCCGAGGCGTCGACAACAGATGTCCTTCTCTGACGTATACGCAATCTCCATCCCATGGTACAAAGGTTTATAATTTGTACCCCGCATAGGAGAGAAGTATCGACCGGAGAGGACACCTGCTTCTCGGTTAGAAAGCGCTAGGTAGGCTTCGCCGTCTTCAGATGGTACCTAGTGGACTTCGTTAACGTTCGAATGAAATTCCCTGATGTTGCAGAAATTCACGGATAGCGTGGCAGGGTTACCTTTGTCTTATTGCAGTAATTTAGTTAATCTTGTGTGGAATTTTGCCTCACCTCCTAGCATACGCGAGGCAGCCTGAGCACCATACCATGTTAAGGGGGAGAGGGGTTAGGCCTCCGACCACCTGCACTTACCAGGCGAAGTAAACTTACTTGACGCTGGATGTCTGTAAGGTCGCGGTACCTCATTGGTTCGAGCGGGTCCACCCATTCATTACAGCTATATTTAGTAGTAAGTAGCTTTGCTTTGTTATGGACTGCAGTGCGCGACAAGGAGCTGATGATGAAGTATTTTTGCACCTTTAAAGTATTTAGTTTAGATAATTAATAGTTTTGTTAATTTGACATAGAGTCTTGTAGTCTTGTAGTCATGTAGTGTTGTCTCTGATGTACGCGAAGTACTTTCTTTACAAACTTTAATATTTAGTTTAGCCAATTTCATTTTTGCCCCGGGGCCCTTGGTTACATAGCTACGCCACTGTATTTGAACATGCGCTCTTAATGGAGAATAGTAAAAATCTTATGTATATACTTCTTACAGATGGCTCTAATTTAAAATATCACTTTAAAGCTAAATATTTCGCACACGAACACCTGAATCGAAAATATGTTGTTCCACACACCCAGTGTTTTTGAAAGACCTATCCAACGATACCAGACATGATGTAATAGACGGGTAAAAAAAATATCATCCTCCATTTACTTGTATGGGAAGTACCCAAAATAAAAATGTTTTTGAGATTTTATTTCACAGTTTTCTAGGCGTGATTAATATCTATAACTATGCCAAATCACAGGTTTGTAGGACCTGGAGTCTCTGAGAAAAACCGCAGACGGACGGACGGGCATGGCGAAACTATAAGGGTTCCTTGTTGTGTAACTACGGAACCCTAAAATGAAACCAAATTCATCAAGATCACATTTTACTGTATTTGATATACAAGAAAAATAGCTTCTAAAATACATTGGCATATTTCAAGAACATTTATCAGAAAATACAGTAAAAGAAATATTGACCCAACCACATATTAAAAAGTAAGATTTGTACAATAAAACTTTTGCTTATTTATATCTTTAAAGAGCAGCTCTTTCTCTGCTAAAAATACGACCTTTAAAAATGTTGTCAATTCTACTGAAGACCTCTTCTGCGGATTTCGACGCGTCTACTCTCCAGTGAAGACCTTTCCTCATGTAGTAGTCTACAAGGGGTACTGTTTGTGCATGATATGTAGCAAGACGTTTCTTTAGGGCATCAACATTGTCATCAGAGCGCCTGATTAGCGGCTCCCCAGTTACATCATCAATCATTGGCTTCCTAGGAGGATGAAATTCCTCATGGTAGCTGCGACCACTTGATGGATGAATCAGCCTCCCAGTAATTCGGCGCACGAGGAGGCTATCTTGGATGCCAAACTCAATTACAGCATCAAGTTGCGTTTTTCTCTTGCTCAGCAAATCATCTAACTGAAATAAATGAAAGAAACATTGTGAGATCTTTTCACAGTACAATATTTCGAGAATTATGTTTTTAAACATAGTTTTGCCTTAACGGCATGTGTGTGCTGATTATATCATTGTATGTTTAAAACTTTAAAAACTACAAAAGAATTATGTAAGATCAATTTTCCAGATTTATTGAGAATTTGCTGGCATCATTTAAAAAGTTTAACTTTTTAGGGGGGCGGGCAAAGTGCCGCCCCCCAAAATCTGCCGCTGAAGGCCATGACTTTTGTACGCCGTTGGCCGCAGTCCTGGCGGGTTTAATATGGCTTACAATTTTAATGTCTCAGGTTTACTCGTAAACAATTATTATAATACCAGCGGCGGAAATCAAACTTAGGTGGCTCTTTATATTAAAGTAGATTAGGTTAAATATATATTTTACAAAAATTTACTATGTGAAACGAATAAAAATTGAATATTTCCAGGTAAGTGTTACAGTGTAAAATATTCTGAAGAAAATTGTGTAGGCGATGCCAGGCCAGCTATCTAATATTTCCTTCACATTTTTTAAAATAGTGTAGTGTAGGTGTAGCCCACACGACAAATTATACATGTTAATTATAGAGTAAGTATGCAGTATAATTAAATTCTCAGAAGGAACAACACGGCTCTTTACCATAGACGCCTTCCCAACATTGCAAGCGCACCGACGAGGCCCTCATGTATTAAAAAATACATTTTGAAAAATAAGTAGAACAAAATATCATACGAAAGGAATGTAGTCATGAATAACGAACGTGTGGAGAGGCCATAATATTACATATTTTTAAGAAGATAGAAAGAGATAGAAAGACAACATACATGCTAATTCCTATTAAAATTTCGAAGATTTTTTTATAAAAGCAACGAGGATGTAAAGACTAAAAACGTACCTATTCCGTGCAAATTAATGACATGAATTTACGAAAATAAAAAGAAATTGTAATCCAGTGAGCATAAGCCGATGAGAAGAATAGGAAAATAGAGCCGAAAATAAAATAAAAGGTAACCGCACCAGTGTTATATTTTTGTAAGTTACTGTTTTAAATATTTAGATACATCTTTTTGTAAAGTTTTAATTATTTTTGTATCAAATAAAAAAATGGTTATATATGTAACATGTATTAATTAATTAAGACATATTTTGTTTAAAATATAAGCTGAAACCATCTGAGCTACCACGGCTAGATGGTTAGCGCTCGCTGTAAGCGTAATAGTACTCGAGCAACCCGGGTTCGATCCCCGCCGGCACCAATGAAATTGTTAATTGCAATTTTAAGTGCTGATTTACCACGTGCTCGGCGGTGCCCAGCAGTGGGACGTAAATAGGCTGCAACTTTACTTTACTTTATAAGCTGAAAATAGCTGCCAGATACAATTTTAAATTAAAATTTTATTAATCTAAAAAAAAAATCATATCCAATATTATAAATTAAGTTACGTTTTAAGCACTGATGTCATGTGGCATGTTTATATTCAAGCACAAGACGATTTTATATTTAATGTTTTCAGCTATTGTTTCAATTATGATAAACATTCCATAGAAGTCATGAAATTTTAAAAAAAGGTAATAATGCGTTTTCGGCTATTAATGATAAATATTATATATTATATATAATAAATACTTGATAATATATTACATAAAAGTATTATAACAATGCAATGTAACAATCTTAACTACGTAAATTAAAAAATATAACTTTCAGATGCATTTCACTTGTACTCATAATAGAACATTTTGAAAGTTATTTTGAGATTAGGTACATAGTTATATGCATGTTATACATACATAGTTCGTTGTTATATACACATATGTATAGTTCGATGTAATCGCAAACGTTTTCATATACCTACGTTGCCTACGTACTTTGGAATTTAAAACAAAGGTGTCAAAAATCACTTGATTTTGATCCCTGAGATTACAATTTGTATTTTGATCTGTCTGTTGTTATGGTACTAATGAGCTAATGACACAGTTTATACCATGAAGCTAATACAAAGGGGAGACGGCATAAGCAACTGTGCACTGTGATTCTAAGTAGGTCCTGACGTCATCATAGTGGGCGTGGCTTTAGTTAGTATACTGTCAGCATTCGTCCTGTGTGCTTATGTGTTGAAAAAATCACAAATCGGTGTATTTTCGTAGTATTAAGAAGAAAAGGATGAAGTGTTGTGTTTTATTGTGTAAAAAGTACTCAGATAGACGCTCTGATGTTATGGATGGCATCACATTTCATTTGTAAATAATTTTACTTACCTAATTTATTAAAATAGTTCTAGAAAAATCTCTTTGCGTCGGCTTTCAAATATAATTAAATATATTCGACACTAGATGGCGACAGTTTGTGTCATGTGAACTAAAATATAAAGGTCCGTACAGCTCAGTAATGATAAAATAATCATATGAAGGTGCTGAAATTTGTTTTGCATTCAGACATAAAGAAATTTTAATCGCCAAAATATTATGTTTATATTTTTTAACATTTTGTGGACATGCTGCCATCTACCGTCAAGGTAGCTAAGCTACATTGCAACATCGATATGGAAAGATTCGAGTAGTTTTACTATTTATCGGTAGATGTAGATAGTGTAAAGTGGGCGGGGCTTTGTATCCCCTCACCCCGCAAATTGTCACGCGTTGTTACATAGTGAAATTTAATTACAACGTCTCCTCTTTGTATTTGCTTCATGGTTTATACTGTGCTAATAACGACTTATGTTTTCTTTATTATTCTTTCTTCTGTATATCTTAATAAGAAATGTAATAATTTATTTTCTGTTTTATAACAATCAACAAATTAAACAAATCTGTTTTGTACAATTAAATAAAAAAATATATGAGCTGAAATGCTATAAATGTAAAGCAGTGAATAAAATGATATTGGTCACTGTCTTGATCATGTATGTACGCAAGCTGTGTACATGAAAGAAGTGGCACAATAATTATTGAATGAAAATAGCTAAAATTCTATGGAGTAAAATGTAAAATAAATAATGGTTAGCCAAAAAAAATTTCTTATTTTTTATTCGTACTTTTTCATACTTTTAGTATGAAAAAGTACGAAATAAGAAAACAGTATTTTGAAATATAAATGCCTGTACAATTATACTAGATGCTCGCGAATTTGACCATATTATATATTACATAATTATGTCAAATATGTATGTTGCATGTATGCATGATACATCATACCAATTCTATTGTGACCTCGAAATTACTATGGGGCAGGGGGATCTGGCTACCCGACCTACTCAATATATATACTCTCTATACCTATCTCGAGAAATTACATTTTTGTGAATTATATTCTTTTTAGAATTATATTATTTTACAAGTTTATTTATTTTAAGTTTATTATATTTCTTCGGTGGGAGGTATAGTGTAGGTGTAGCCCACAGGACAAAATATTATATATTAATGTAACTCTGTAAGATCGTTTCATGTACAACAGTGGAGAAGATTTAAAGTAGATCTTACTCCACCACTCACTACTCCCCTGTGTAGAAACGGACTCTCCATTAATGTATTACCCCATAAACATATTAATGTTAATTGTAGAATAAGTAGACAGTCTAATTATAGTCTTACTCGTAGAAGGAACAACACGTCTCTTTCTCATTGACACCTTTCCAACATTACAATAGAATAAGGATGACATGCGAGCAAGCAGTCCGCCTGATGGTAAGTGGATACTGTGGCTCATAGACGTCTATATTTACTCTTGATTCAGTATCAAAATGCAAACGCGTTGTCGCCCCTGAGGACTAAGATGGAATGCCTCATTACCAGTAAAAAGGTCTCTGGTTTTCCACACTCACCACACGAAACACAGTAGCATAATTCTGCTGTTTCACTTACGTATTCTGTGAGACGTTTGATGTATGGTTTTAGATTTAAACCCCTTATTTTTCAGCTAAACGTGGTGTCCTATGGGCTACATTTACTTCCTGTTAATGCAAATGTTTGTCATCTTTACTTGTAAATTGTAAATAAAATACCAATAATCTATTATATACCTTTTCAGCCTGCGGTACAGTCCTTGGAAACCCATCAAGCAGGAAACCATTTTTACATTCTGGTTGATCAAGGTTTTTGTCTATCATGTCTACAACCATCTCATCAGAGACGAGTTTACCCTCATCCATCACTTTCTTTAAGCGCCGGCCAAGCTCTGATCCAGACGCAACTTCTGCACGTAGCATGTCCCCAGTTGATAAATGACATACGCAGTATTTTTCTTTTAGATGTGGAGCCTGAAAAATAGCTTTACTTATTAAAAAATAATAATTTTTAACCTTTTCTGTGCCAAATACTATATTTTGTAGCGAAACCATTTTGGCACTTGGAGTTTACAACTATCTTCCGAGGTTAAGTACCTAGGTATAACCTTGGACCACAATTTATTTAAAATAAACACATCGTTTTGTTTATCTTATTTGGCAATGCAGTAGCATGATTGGCAAACAATAGGGTCTGTTGCCCAAAACCATACTATGGTTTTACAGAAAGGTGATTCAAACCCTGACTTCTTACGGCACTCTGGTAAAGTGGATTAAAGCCAATAAAGTCACCACTGTAAAGAAGTTGCAACAATGCCAAAGATTGGCTTGTATGGCTGGAACAGCTGTCTAAGGACTACTCCTCTAGCAGCCCGGAGCCCATGCTTGAACTAACTCCACAGCATCTATATACGCAACAAGAAGCAATGTTAGTTGCGATCAAACGCAAAACTAAGCAATAGTAGGGTACCTCATACATGCAGAATTAATAAAATATACAACAAAATTCCTATCTTACAAGCTGAGTATGACAGGATCCCTAAACAATTAGTACTTGATGAGAAATACTAATCAATGAAACAGACCATGTGAAGACCATCAGAGCCTCCCAGAAGAACTCAGAGAACAAAATATTTAGAGATGGCTCCCAAACTAATAAAGGTGCAGGATCTGCCAATTTTTTGGAAAATAAGAGGAAGTAATCAACATTCATATACAAAAAGCACTGTTAGGTACCTACCCTCATCTTTCAGGATGAATTGTATGGGTATAATTCAGACAAGCAATAACTGATAGGAATAAATGGCTATTTGATCTAAATACTGACCAGTAGTGGTCGGTCAGTAGGACTACAAGCTATAGGATGATGCAACAAGATGAACTTCGGGCTAATACCACAGAATAAATAATAGTTAAAAGAACTAGTACAAAGTATCATGCTTGCTTAAAGGCCTTTGTTTGCGGCGGTGTCATGTGACGGGTCGTCGGCAACCCTTTAGAATGGTCGAGGAGGGGGTCACCCCTCCTCCTCCACTTCACTGATTCTACTGCAGTTATCCTTGGTTGGCAATTGCATGAAAACACAATATATCTCACAAGTAATACATATTATATTAAATTAGATTGTTTAGTGCGATTGCCACGTCAATCTATGGACTGAATAAATTAACCGACTTGGTATTACATGGATCTCACGACTTTTTACGGTAGAAGAACTGAGTTGCAAGACTTGCTTTTTTACAAGTTATGTTTTTGATGGCATCTCATTTCTTTTTGTAGATAGTCCTACTTTTTATCCTTTCCGATACCATCTACTTCTTGAATACCAACTACTGATTTTCGGGCAATTTAGTCTACTTAATACTTTGCGGGATTTTGGTACAACTTCATAAGACATGTCCCATTCTTGCTTTTTCATTCCGTTGACCATTTTACAAGTTACCTTTGAACATAATTATATCTAGGTACCTATCTACATCTATTATTCCATTACATTATACATATACAGGTACACTGATTCACTCACTGCAAATATAAATTTGTAATCCTATATATTTATATAGGATTACAAAGTTATTTATGCAGTTGGTGTATCTAGAAAACTGGACCGAAATTACAAAATATATTAATTTTTCCTTAATTTATACACTAGACACTAATTGTATTCTAAATATGAAGCTTCTACGTCTGATAGAAGTGCCTTAGAGTTTTGATGATCGGTCAGTCAGTGAGTGAAAAAATTAAGAAACTTTGACTAGTTATAATTATTAAACTACTGATTGAAATTGAATGAAATTTGAAATATGCCGTGTTTATACAATGCATGCCTAGTCACTGAAAATTCAGGCTTCTTGTTTTAACCACAACGAAGTTATGGGGGGTCGAAAATGGCCTGATTTGCTTCGAGAAAAGGATGGTACAGCCGTGCCGCTTTTTTGCTCAACTTGGCGGGGGCACTACCGTGCCCCAGATCAAAAGTAGTTTTGACTGAAAAAATATTGGTTAAGTGACTGAGTGAGAGTAGACTGGTAAAAAAAATATTTGATATTTAACAAAATGTTGATTGCAAATTGATTTTAGGACAGAGCAGTTTTTTCTTGTATAAACTAGTTTTTCATGAGCCAGCATAGAGTAACTAGATCAATATATTATTATTTACATTGAAACTTACTTTTAAAATCCTTAAAATAGCTATACAAAATAAGAAAAACTATATTTGTTAAAAGAACATAAATATTAAGATATTTTGTTTTCTGTACTACACTTATCAATTTACTACTTACATAACAACAGAATTCATTAGATATTAGCCCGATGTTAAAAGATAATTATTTAAACTGACAAACTAAATTGTTAACAATACAATATAGTTATAATTAGAAAATCTTTTACTTGAGTTCCTTTGCCTGATCCTGGCGGTCCCAACAGTACCGCTCTAATTCCGATGGGATCCTCATTAGGTTTTGGTTTCACCGCAGTCGCCGCTGGAGCCATTATAAAATCGAAGCTTTCAAACCAATTATTATAGTGATAAATTAAGTTAACAAGCTCTGCTCAGAATCTTGATTATACATATATATTTACACTAAAAACTATTAAATTAACGTCTGCCCAATGCAAAATGCAACTGACAACATGTGGATTGTGGAATGTGGATGTGGCCCTATCTGGCCCTATCTATACTCTTCATCTGTTGACTTGACATATGACAGGTGACAGTAGGCGTGGGCAAAAAATATCGATATATACTGCCTGGCCTTGTTCTCACTTCGATATTAAAATGAAAAAATGGGGTAAGCAGTATAATGATTGGCACTTTAAGCGGATTTCTACTTGTAAGTGGTTAATTCTCGTAAATAAACAAATCTGTTATATTTTTTATTGTTTTGTTGGATTTTAGTTTAGATAGCCATAAATAAAATAACGCATTACGTTTAATTAAGATAAAAATCCAATTAAACTTTTTCCTAGGGAATATTACAATCATTGGCACTTTAGCATAGTGAATGTCACTGTAAATTAAGTATAATCATTGGCACCATTAGAAGTCTTAAATCGTTATACCCAGATCTTTCTAAGCTTTTCATACGTGGTAGAGCCATGCTGCATCTATATTATGGTTGTAGCACGAATGGGTCGGCTCAACCGGGGAAGGACCACGCTCTCACAGAATACCAGCGTAAAATAGCAGCTTAACGCTGCTGTGTTTCGTATGGTGAGTGTAGAGAACCGGAGACCCTTTTTACTGGAAACGAGGCATTCCATCTTAGTCCTCACGGGTGACAACGCATCTGCTTTTGTAGATATAGATGTAAATGTCTATGGGCCAAAGCGACCACTTACCATCAGGTGGACTGTGTGCTCGTTTGTCACCCTTATCCTATATAAAAAAAAGCTCCATTTTATTGTTATAACACTTATTTTGGACAAATCTTCTTCAAAAATTTCCTTAGATCTTCATCTGAAAGCTGTTTCGTTTGTCTACCATGTTTTTTTCTTTCTTCGTATATATTTTTGATGTGACTTTTTTAGTAAAACCTTTTGTATTTTGTCGATATTTTGTAAAAATAGAACTTTATTTTGGTTTTTTAGATTAAACATTTAGAGAGTATTATAATGTCAGACTTTTCGGCTTCGTTCTTCTTGTTTTGTTTGTCAGTTTTTTTCTATATTTGGCTGACAAATTCAATTCTGCATTTTCCATTTGTGCCCAATTCTTCCATTATTTTTCTCCGCTGCTACCGAATCTTCACTTGTTAGCACAAAATAACGGCGTTGTTTACCTGATTTTTACTTTTTGATACGTATTTGGCAATGGAAAAAAATATTAAATATTTTTAGGGCTTTCTAAAAGATTTTAGTTTATTTAGACATCCACAATCACCCATTCACCTCCAACAAATTCTAAATTTGCTGCCTAGTTGATGAAAAACTATTTTTAAGTGAAAGTATACAAGGCAAATTTGATAAAGGTATTTCTGATTCAGTCGTTATTAGTCGTTATTCTTAAAATATTAGGTAATTCAGCGTAATGGCAAGGAACGGTGATCATCTAAAATGGCTTCGAGGGCACCGGACACTTTGTTTAATCCACTTTGTCTGGACTAAATGGGCACAACCCACATGTCTCAAAACCATTTCATAATGTAGATTTATTCCAAAACGGTAAAAGTCTTGCTAATATAGGCCCTCATCTGTTTTAGTAACCTTTTTGTCAAATTGTTTGTCCGTCATTCGAAGACAGGTTTACGCCACATATCTTTGGTGGGCCGAAATGCAGTGATAACAGCTGATTGCAATAGTCGCGTTGCATTCAGGCTATAAGTATTATGGCGAGACTTGGGCAAAGTTGCGCCGTATTTAAGATAGTAAATAACCCTCTCTCTAGTGCCTAGAGACTTTTGAACGTCTGATCACATTTTCTATAAGAGGAAAATAATAGGTTTTACCGTTTACTCCAAAGAACAATGATGCAAGACTTCGATTAGGCATAACCCACCTCATAAACGCTTTATTCTCCCTCTATAAAACGGTTTAGTATGTATTTGTAGTATGTATGTATGTATTTTAGGGGGTATTTACTCAAAAACCTCACATTATTGACATTTTTATGACATCGAAAACTGTGCCAGTACCAGGTCGGCTTTTCAGCTTGTTAGTTTTTTGACTTTATTTATTTAGTGGGAACTGTAAATTCGCGCATGGAATGTTAAATGTTAGTGCGGCAGTTATTTTTCTAAAGCACCCTCTCCTAATAGCAGTATTCTTCATCAATTCAAAATATGAAAAAGTTCAGTCATAATCATTGGCACTACTCAAATGATATAGTCATTGGCAGTGTCAAGAATAGATTTTAGACAAAAGAAAGAAAGTATAGTGTTTGACATATAAGCCAATGATTATGTAGTCAAACAAAGTAAAGTATAGTCATTGGCACAATTAAAAAAAACCGATGCTTCTATTTCACGACGATAAAATAACGTTTAAGGCTTTAACTAGCCTGAATTACCTTGACGAAACGGCGATCGCAGATATTTTAGCCGACATCAACACCGTCTAGCAACTACGTTCTGTATTACTTATAAAAGTATATACTTATAAAAATATATATCGTAACGCGTGCGCCGACAACTCAACAGTGTTTTTATTTGCTCCGCAATAAAAATTTGTTAAAGTTGGAAAATTGAACTTTCAAATGTTTTAACTTGCATATTTACTTAAAACAACAGTTAAATTATGGTTAGACATTAAAAAGTAGTGATAACACGCGTGATTAGTCATTAAGAAGATAATTTAAAACTTACTATATACCTACATTATAAACAATTACGCCCGCTTTGCCCAGTGAGTGCTCAAGCGCGTACGATTCGAGTGTGTAAATCATCGCAGCGGCTAGCCAAATCCCTTGTCGTTGATATTTTGTTTGCTGATTACCCGCCTTAATAATTTCAATAAAATCAAACTTCGCTTGAAATAAATACATCAAAAATGACAAAAACTTGTACCGGCTGCTCTGCAAATCTTCGTAAGGAGTATTTGGTTTGTCATAAATGTAATGATTCTTATGATCTCATGTGCGCAAACTTGACTCAAAATAAATTCAATTTAATGAGTAAAGACAATAAAAACACCTGGATGTGTCGTGCTTGCCGTTGCAAAGTACTAAAGCGTGACAATACAAATACTCCTCGCAGGCATCAAATACCTCACCCTCGCCTCCTGGCTCTGACCACTCTAATGTTACCATGCGACACAAAAGTCGACAAGAAGTCCCAAGCAACCAAATAAGCGGGAGTTCCAGCCAGAATACATCGTTGTGGGACTCACAATTAGAGGATAAACATGTTTCTACCATGAAGAACCTATCTAAGGAAGAAATACGGGGTATAATGAGAGATGAACTTAGCATTGCTTTCTCGCATTTTGAAACTAATTTGTTAAAAAATATGGAGACGAAAAACAATGAACTCATAGAGCGAGTAGAGCAATTGACGACCTCACTTAATTTCTTCGAAGAAAAATATGAACAAATTCGTGCTGATATACAAAATAAAAATGAATTACTGAAAGTTAGAACATGAAAATAAAAAGCTAAAAAGTTCATTCACGGACTTCAGTGCTAGGCTTGCACAAATGGAACACCATTCGAGGGCTAGCAATATAGTAATACATTGTATACCAGAACACAAATCAGAAAACCTTGTCACAGTTATAAAGCAAATTGCAAATGATACAGAGTATAAATTAAGTGAAATAGATATTCACTTGTGCACAAGAATATCAAAAATGGATAAAAATAGTTCCAAACCACACTCTGTACTCGTAAAGTTCGCTAGCCCAAGAGTCCGAGATGGTTTTCTCGCATCGACAATGGTCTTCAATAAGAAACAGAAAGACAATGACAAAAAGATTAACTCAAGTCATATAGGGATATCAGGAGAACGAAAACCTATCTATGTTATGGAACACTTGTCTCCAGCTATGAAGTCTCTTCTTGCGGCAACCCTTGTTAGAGCTAAAGAAAAGGGCTATAGATATGTATGGATTAAATCGGGACGCATATATGTAAGGAAAACCGAATCATCTGAACATAAATGTATTAAAAATATTGAATCTCTCAACAGTCTAAGCTAACTAAACTAATTTATTAAAGTAGATTAATCACAATAATTCATACAAATGTGTTGGGTTATCCTACCACAACATACGATAATATATCATGTTATTGCCAGAATGTCCGAGGCCTAAGATCGAACGTTAGAGATGTCTCATTAAAAATTCAAAACAATACTTTTGACATTATAATTCTTACAGAAACGTGGTTGAACTGCACAGATTATAATTATGAAATGTTTGACGACAGATATACAGTGTACAGAAGGGATCGTGCAAATAATAAACTCGGTGGCGGGGTTCGAATAGCTGTATCTAACAATTTAACATCTAATAAAATATCCAATTACGATACTGAATGTGAAGATCTTTGGGTAAAGGTTAAGATTTTTATTGGCAAGAAATGCGAATTTCTTCAAATCTGTGCCGTGTACCAACAACCACCCCTAAATCAAAACTTATTTAGAACATTCATTAACAAGACAAATCAAATTATGGATGAGTATAACACAAAACACACTTTAATAGCAGGTGACTTTAATATTTCAAATGTAAACTGGGAACTACATAGCTCAGGTACGTATTTTTACCGATTTTAAATAGCAACAATAACATAAATAATTTACTCTTAGATTTCTTGGAATTGAATGACTTCAAGCAAATCAGTTCTATTAAAAATAGTAATAAAAACATTCTAGACTTAATTTTATGTAACTCCGAAATAGTAAATATTAATGAATGTTCCAATGCTACACGTAATGTTGACACTTACCATCCACCATTAGAAGTATCTATTACAATACCATCCAGTTATTAACCGAATCATGTGAAATTACAAAAAAATAACTATTTAAAAGGCGATTACGATCAGATAACTAAAGCCCTGGACGAAATCTTATGGGCAGATGAACTTTTAAAATATGATAATATTAACGAGATGATTAATAAATTCTACCTAATACTTAATAAAATAATAAATCTTTATGTGCCTAAAAGTAAAAAATGTGGCAATAGGCATCCGGTATGGTACAACTCCTATTTGATATATCTATTGAAGCAAAAAAAGGAGTTTCATAGAAAATGCAAGATCTATAATATTCCCTTAGACCTACTAGAATCTCAATACCTCCTTCACGACTGTGAATACTAACAGAAACATGTTATGACAAATACATATCTACTCTAGAACACGAAATAGGTAGAAATTCTAAATATTTTTGGACACATATCTAACAAACGTAAAAACTCTTCTAGATATCCACCATCAATGTATTTAGGAGACAAACAATCAAATGAACTAAAAGAATCCTGTAACTTATTTGCAGCGCACTTTTCTAGTGTCTATAACACCCCAACAAATAGCTCACTATATTTGCACGATTCGCAGCAACAGCTTCCCGAAAAGTCCAATATATACATATCCCAAAAAAGCATAATAAATAAAATAAAAAGACTTGATATAAAACAGAGTGCCGGACCTGACAATGTGCCTCCTATATTCTTAATTAAATGTGCAAATTCAATATCCTGCCCCTTACAACTAATTTATAACGCTTCACTTAAGACAGGGACTTATCCCGATAAGTGGAAGGAAGCAAGAATAGTACCTATTTATAAAGATGGAAAAAAGGAACTTGTATCTAATTATCGGCCTATATCAATCCTCTCTACCGTATCAAAGATTTTTGAATCACTTGTCCATCCATTTATATTCAATCATGTTAAAAACCACCTATCTCCATACCAGCATAGTTTTATGCCTAAGAAGTCTACTAATACTAATTTGCTAAATTATGTTTCCAATCTTATTGATTCAGTTGACAAAAATCTTCAAGTAGATGTAATATATACTGATTTTGCTAAGGCATTTGATAGGGTGGACCATAATATACTTGTTAAAAAACTCGAATATTTTGGCATTTCTAATACATTTTTAAGCTGGTGCAAATCCTATCTCTCTAATCGAAATGCCATAGTAGTAATTGATGGCGAGTGTTCGGATTCTTTCAATGCTATTTCTGGTGTTCCACAGGGATCAAATTTAGGGCCTTTATTATTTGTTTTGTTTATTAATGATATAGTAAATGTATTTAAAAATTGTCAGGTTTATTTGTTAGCAGACGATTTAAAAATAGCTAAAGTTATAAAGCAAGAATCTGATGTAATAGACTTACAAGCGAATCTTGACAGACTTGTAAAATGGTGTGAAACAAATCGAATGCTGCTCAATCCAGACAAATGTAGTTTTATAAAATTCACAAGAAAAAAAAACCATTAATGAGTTCTTACAACATTTTGGGTAAAAGCTGAAGGAAACTAATGTCATTAGAGACGGGCGTAATATTTGATAGCAAATTAAGATTCGATAAACATATAAATTCTATAGTGACTGCTTCTTTCAGGTTGCTCGGCTTTATTCTTAGACAGTCTAAAGATTTTAAAAAGGTAACAACAATACTTCAACTGTACAACAGTTTGGTCCGTAGTAAACTTGAATATTGTTTTACATAATGATTTCTTATATTTACGCGAACACTACACATTGAATAAAACTATTTTTACGGATTTTATCGCGTTTAATTAACTTATTTTATATTCCCGACGTTTCAGTTGCGTTCCAGCAACGGTGGTCCCCCGTGACCACGGTTGCTGGAAAGCAACCGAATAAGTTAATTAAACGCGATAAAATCCGTAAAAATAGTTTTATTCAATTGAATATTGTTGTCAAGTATGGCTCCTGCTTACAAAAACCACATTGAAAGAATCGAACGTGTTCAAAAAAGACTCATTAAACAGCTAATATTTCGTCTTAAGGCGTCAAATCATAGTGAGTGCTACAAAGATAAACTCGATTACTTTAGGATGAAATCACTGGCAGTTCGTAGATCTCTTCTTGATTTAAAATATTGACAGAGTAGTGGGAACATGAACATTTTTGCTTGTATACCAAATACCTTTGTTTACTGTGTAATAATATTGTACAGTAAACAAATATATGGAGATGGGATGGAGATCCTTGATTACATATTGTTATCCCATATTATGGTATTTTTTTTATATAAAATAATAATGATTAGTTAAGTAGAAATTAAATAAACTGTTTTTAAAATCAATAGAAATTTATTATTAATTGGTATATAGGAACGTTCTGCACATAATTTATCACAAATGTTAAGTTATATAAGCATGTTCGGTCCTGCCGGATATCATATTTTTTTTACTCATATTTGCAATGAAAAATATAATTTTTTTCACAGGTACATTAATTTTGTTCATTTAAAATTCGAAAATCTGGCATGATCATGAAACGGTGGATGAAATATGATATTCAGGATTTATAAGCTATTATTGTTATTATTATATATTCATTTCTGAACAAAATTAATTTATTAAAATAATTTCTATCGACACCATAGATAAGAGTGTACGACACTATTTCACTGCTTTTTGACAGTTTGACAGCAGATCTACCTCAAAACTTGGCACTTACAACATGGATCTAGAAAAAAACCCTTTTTTCTAGCTAGGTCCATGACTTACAATGGCGGCGCAGTCACGCATGGATGAGCTAATGACGTCACACGAAAGTATTACTAAAATAAGCACTTTACAAACTGTAGATGTCTCTCTTTTCTATTGCAGCTACTGCTTTGTTAAAAAGAGACAAAACTATTTTTGACAAGTGTATCGATATTATAGATATTTGTATAACTATTATTTCTATAGTGGAATATGCCATAGGTATATATCTCTATGGTGAAATTAGTGACATAGTGCAAAATCAAGTGACAGTGCAGGATCCCTCCCGCCGCCTGAGTGATATGTTAAAAAAAAGATCCTATTACGTGCCTCTATATAAATTCATCAAAAATACAGTGGGGAAATTATGATAAACTGAATAAAAATACTCAAGACTTGGCCTAAAGGTCTAGATACCAGGCTACAAACTCCAAAAAAAAAATATAGGACATTTACTATACTCTTTGATTTTAACCTTCAAATTTGTTGGTGGCGGTAAATATTTTGACATAATTGAGGGGTTAAAAAAGTACTTGCAAAAATAACATATTAAATAAAGATCAAGCTTTTAATTTAAAATGATATCAAATACTTCTTGGTATAATATCCACTTATTACTAGTTTATTATATAGTCTGTTTTTTGGAGCTATAATACTAACTTTCACGGTCCTTTTTAGTTACTGGAAGCGGTTATGGCGTTGGACTACTTCACAAAGTCTTTCGAAAGAAGAAATAGAACTCGTATTCACACAAGACATTGTTGAAGGGCTAAGGCAAGGTCTTGCCAGCTACAAAACAAGAGAACCCGATGAGTTTACACAACTGCAGTCCAAGCATGCAGATCAAGCTAAGCTACTCAGTGTTGTTCAGACTTTACAGAACTACATGGTTTGTTATATGTAATATTATTTTAGTAGTGTATGACACTGGTTACACAATCCCCATACTGATACCTATATTGATTGGAATAGTGTTGAAAAAAGGACTATGTATTATTATTCTATCTGTGGTTGCAGTGATCAGTCACTCCATTAGTCTTAATTAGTGTTGTGTATCCATTGTGGCAATTCTATTAGTACAAAAAGGTTATGATGTAATAATATTATAAATATGGAAGAATATTTCTTTGTAATGACTACATTATAAAATTGTTCCTAGAACACAGTAAGCAATTAGTAAAATAAATGGTACGACTTTCCATTGACATCAGTCGAGTTTGGTGATGATACGTATTTTTACAGAAAGCTTACATTTTTATAAGCACACACACAAAGTTTCAATATACGGAAACACGTACTTATTGAGAAAAAAATATTGTAAATCAAATAATTTTGCAATATTTAGTCAATTCCCACTGTGAAACTGACGCCATTTTTATTATTATTGTCAGTAAGGATGTCGATTCTTTCCGAAAAAGATCGATTTTTTAAATAGATTCGAATTGTAAGCTGATGTATCGATTCCCAATAAATCAATTTCTAAAATATCGATATTTTTTCATGTTTGCATTTATAATGTAAATATAAATCCATTTTATGAGAAAAAAATCCCCTTCATCATAAAAAAATAAGGGGACTGATTCATAATTTGTTACAGCAGGCGGAGGCTGCTCCCCCTAAGCGCCTCCGGCTCTATAAAACCCACTTTAGGGGTAGGACAGACTCGTACCAGGTGGAGTCGGGGTCAATCAATTCGGTTCTTTGACATAAGTTGAACCTAACCTATTTTATTTGTTATCTGCCCTAATAGGTACTGTTAAATAAAACAAATTTCAATAAGAGATCATTTATCATGGTATCTTTCTTGTTTTTCATAAAATGGGTTTATATTTACATTATAAATAGAAACATTAAAAAAATATAGATATTTAGAAATCGATTTTTTGTGAACCGATACATCAGCTTACGATTTGAATCGATTTAAAAATCGATCTTTTTCGGAAAGAATCGACATCCCTATTGACGTCGACAATGACATTACAAAATGGCGCCAGTTTATTAGCAGATTAGACATAAACATTGCAAGAATAATTGATTTTCAATTATTCTTTTCTCAAAAATTACGCGTTTCCGTATTTTGAGACTTTTTGTGTGTGCTTATAATAGTGTAATCTTTCTGTAAAAATATGTATCAACACCAAACTCCACTGACGTCAATGGAAAGCTAAGCCAAATAAATACAAATAACAATTAAATAGGTTAAGTATGTAAACCAGCAGCAGGGAAGCATCTCTGCAACATAACCACTACTTGCACTGAAGAAAAGAACTGCTCTATAATTTATAACACTTAAGTTTTCCAAAAGGGTTGTTTCAAGTGAGACTGAATTATACCAAGGAACTGTAACTCTGCCAGCTGACAAATAATGTATCATCATTACAGGCCCTCACAAACCAATGCTGAACATGGCTTCCCCCAAAGAATGCCAGAAAGCATTGTACTGATCAACATGCTTCCATTGATTTCTTGCATGTGTAACCAGGTTGTTACTTAAACTAATAAGGAGCTACCTCACTTACCGGTGTGAGGCTGCCAATCACAAACACTTCTTTCCCACTGGTTATTGATTCTTCAAGTTATATGGCTCACCCATTGCTACTTCAGCTTACCGATCTCTTGGGCTATGTCATTTACTCTAGTTCTACAGTAGATATCTTATCTAAAATTGGTATTTATAAGGCGGTAGTGCTGCCTAACATACTGTACTCTTCAGAGTCATGGACAGTTTACCGCCGTCATATACGGACGCTGGATCGCTTCCACTTGCAATGTCTGCGCAAAATTCTCAACATCCGTTGGTCTGATCGCATTCGGAATACGGAAGTGCTACGTAGAGCCTATACCATGGGGATTGAAGCCTACCTTATGGGGCGACAACTCCGTTGGTGTGGACACTTATCGCGAATGTCAGATCAGCGTACGGCTAAGTGCATCTTTTTCTCTGAACTTGAGAAGGGCAAGCGTAAGCATGGCGGACAACTTCTCAGGTACAAAGATGTACTTAAGCGCCACATGACGAAGTGCGACATTGAGCCTTCAGAGTGGGAGCAAGCAGCCGCTCGACGACCGGAGTGGAGATCCTTGGTGAAAGCGAAGGTCAAAATGTTTGAGGAGAATCGATGCTCTGAATTGGACGCCCGACGTGATGAACTCAAAGCACGCCCACCTTGTGCGATTAACTATAATTTCTGTAATGGTGTGCTCACCTGCCCGCATTGCACGCGAACATTTGTAAATAAGATCGGCTACGTTAGCCATGCACGAGCACACCAACGACAAGATCGGAGCTGAAGAGGTCGCCGTGGCCGAAATCGGTCAAGGAGATTATATATATATTATATATCTTTACTAATTATATAACTGTCAAACTGAACATTACGTAGTGATCGTCTCCGCATTTTAATTAGTAACAATAGTACAAAAGTGACCGATCGGAAAAAAAGTGCACTAAAAATATCGAACAAACAGTATTGATAAATTTAAACTAATAATCCTTTCGTGGGAAGTGCTAAATACAGTGAAATAACCATCGAAAGTTTGCAAAATTATTGAAGTTATTAAAAACCATAGACAAAAATTGGAAGTCCAACTACTGTCAAAACCCTCAAAAGTTGCCAGGTCAAACCAAAACCTACCAATTTGGTAGAAAATCGGTACCAAGTATGGACGAACAAACAAAAATGCTGTTGGCCACTATAAAGGAAGAGATTGAAAAACAAAATGATAAACAAACCCAAACCATAACCGAGACTATCAGCAAAACTATTGAAGAGCAACTGTTACCAATAAAAAAGGAAAACGAAGCTATGAAGGCTGAGATTTTGCTACTAAGATCGAAAGTAAAATATCTGGAACATGAAACGAGGAAAAATAATGTCTTACTGCACGGGGTTGAAGAAACTGAAAATAACAATCTAGAATTAATGAATACTGTAATAGAACTATTCAACGTTCCCTGCACAACAGAACAAGCGGAGAAAGAGAAACACGACTGGGATAAATGGGAACTAAGCAGCATATACAGAGTTGGGAAAAAGACAGAAGGCAAGATAAGACCTATAAAAATTTCATGTACCCTAACATGGAGAAGAAACGAAATCTTGGAAAAGAAGAAAAAATTCCCAGAAGGAGTCTACGTAACAGAAGATCTGTCTAAAGAGGAACTGGAAGAAAGAAAGGCTCTTATCCCAAAAATGAAGGAAGCCAGAGCATCTGGAAAGTATGCAATAATAAGGAATGGCAAACTAATAATACGAGACAAAATGGAACCTGAAAAGAGGAAAGAGCCCAATCCACCCCACCTTCTACTCCCCCGGACAACTTCAGCAAAGCCCCTGGAGAACCCAAGTTATACCAACTTGCTAAAATGTCGAGAATCAACCCAGCAGAAAGAATGAGAAGCCAATCGAAAGCGAATATAGAGGAGACATCAAAAAACTAGAAATAGGCGGTAGTCGAAATGAAAACAGTAAAACAACGAATACCACCAAAACTAAATTAACATTCCCAAACCCGGCTGGTCCCCGTGGGGAATTAGACCACCACCCACCAATCTCAAGAAAACCAAACAAACATACACTTCTAAACAAACATACACTAGAAAACAACAACATTAACAACAAAGATAAATGTAATGCCCCCTTTAAAGAAAGTATCCAAATTGCAGCACTTAATGTTCTAACCCTAAAGTCGGACGAGAGTCTAACAGAACTAAGTAAAGCACTAAATGATATCAAATGGGACATTCTGGGTCTGAGTGAAGTAAGACGAGCTGGAGAAAACATACAAGAATACGAGGACTTCCTTCTATATCACATAGGCGAAAAAGAAGGCCAAAATGGGGTAGGATTTATTCTCAAAAAGCACATGATACAATATGTTGATGAGTTCATAGGAATTTCGGACCGTTTAGCAGTGCTAAATATAAAATTACCCAATTACGAAGATATGTGGTCTATTGTGCAAGTGTACTCTCCAACTGAACAAGCAGACAAAAAGACAATTGAAGAATTCTATGAGAATCTAAACAGTACTATAGAGAAACATACGCACAAAAACTTAATAGTGATGGGAGACTTCAACGGCCAGACAGGTGAAAGCTTGCCAGAAGAAAGACGTGTTCTCGGACCTTTTACATATGGAACTCGACGAAGCAAAAATGGAGAAAGACTCATTAATATGTCTTTCGAAAACAACCTCTATATTCTAAACAGCAAATTTAAAAAGAAAGGTTCAAGGAAATGGACATGGGTATCACCAGGAGGCAAATACAAAAATGAGATTGACTTTGTTCTCACCAACAAACCAATGTGTTTCACCGATTTAAATGTTGTGAACAAATTTAATTTCAACACGAACCATAGAATGGTCAGGGCAGATCTCACACTACGACATATAAAGACACAAAGACCCAGGAGGCACTTTGTTGGTAAGTTGAGTATTCAAAACCTAAAAGAAGCTGCAAATAAACTGACCGAAAGATTTGCAGACTTTGAGAAAGAAACCAAGAACCTAGATATTCAACAGAAATACGACTGGTTTGAGACTTCAATCAAACTAGCAAAAAGTACCTGCACTAATAAAGAAAAGAAGAAAAGCTATTTATCAATAAAAACAAAAAATCTACTCGAAGCAAGGAAACAAGTAATCAGTTCCAGAGACACAGAGAATCGTAGAAAACGCATATCAGAGCTGAGTAAAGATATAAAACAGAGTATGAGAAGGGATAGAAAACAAAACAGAAGAAAAAAAATAGAAGAGCAAATCATTAGAACAGGAGGAACAAAAAAAGCATATAAAGAACTGTCAGAATCAAAAGATTGGGTCACAAAAGTTAGAAATGAGAAAGGAATAGAACAAAATAGAAGATCAGACATAAAAGATATTGCTACATCATACTATAAACAATTATATGAGAACACACAAGAAGAACCTGGCGAAGTAATAGTACTAAACGATGATGAGGATGAGAGCATACCCTATATACTGCAACGAGAGGTAGAAGTAGCATTACAGTCCCAAAGTAAAGACAAAGCCCCAGGGCCAGATGGCATTGAAAATGAAATCCTATTAATGGCAAAAAATGTCCTGTTACCAGTTATCACGAAACTATTTAATGAAATTTTCGCAAACGAAGTTATCCCGATACAATGGACGCAATCTAATATAGTATTGTTATATAAAAAGGGTGATAAACTTAATATAGGTAATTATCGCCCGATCAGCCTTATGTCCAACTTATACAAAATATTTGCGAAAATACTGCTAAGAAGACTCGAAAGAAAATTAGACGACAACCAACCAAACGAGCAAGCAGGTTTTCGTAGAGGGTACTCAGTATTGGACCACATACATGTTATGAGGCAGATTATAGAAAAATCCCATGAATACAACCAATTATATTACATGGCATATATAGACTACAGCAAGGCTTTCGACTCTTTATTTCACAATAAGATATGGCAGGCCCTAAAAGAACAAGGTATAGAAAGCAAGTACATAAGGATACTGAGAGAGATATACAAGAAAAGTACAGCATGCATACAGTTAGAAAAGAAAGGAGAACCATTTAGCATACAAAAAGGGGTGCGACAGGGCGACCCGCTATCCCCAAAACTTTTTTCTGCGGCCCTTGAAATGATATTTAGAAGACTAAATTGGGATGGATATGGAATCAGTATCGATGGAACTTGGTTAACACATTTAAGATTCGCAGACGACATCGTTCTCTTTGCAAAAACCCCACATGAACTGAATGTCATGGCAAATGATCTGGCATTAGAAAGTCACACGGTGGGATTGAAAATGAACATGGAGAAAACGAAAGTAATGACCAACGGACCTAAAAATGAAAACATCAGGGTTGGCCAAAGTGAGATAGAATACGTTGATGAATACATCTATCTGGGCCAAATGATCTCACCCACAGACAACATGGAAAAAGAAATCAACAGGAGAGTAGCTAACGGATGGAAAAGATATTGGAGCATGAAGGAAATAGTGAAAGATAAAGAACTGCACATATCCATTAAATCCAAAGTATTCAACACATGCATTCTTCCTGTATTGATGTACGGATGTCAAACATGGGCTCCTACTAAATTAAACAGTAAGAAATTAAAAATATGCCAGCATTCGATGGAGCGAAGCATGATGGGAATCAGGAAAAAGGATCGAGTCAGGTTAGAAGACATTAGGAAAAACACAAAGGTTCGGGACATAGCAACAAAAGTCAGGAAATTAAAGTGGAAATGGGCTGGGCATATGAGTAGAGGGAAGGAAAAGTGGAGCAGGAAGGTCACAGAATGGTACCCCAGGAATGGCATAAGAAAGAGGGGGAGACCCCGCCAAAGATGGGAGGACGACCTGGTCAAATTCGCGGGTGTGACTTGGAACCGGGTTGCCAAGGATAGAAACGAGTGGAAAAGGTTGGAGGAGGCCTTTGCCGATTGGCAATCAGCAGAAGACAATGTAGATTTTATATGATTTAGATATTAAGAAATTGTATTACGTACTGTTGAATAAATGGCTTTATTATTATTATTATATATATCTTTATAATGAATTCTATCACAGAGAAACTCCAAGCATAGCTTACATAACTTGCTGAGCAATATTAATTTTCCTCATTCGGCTAGCAGTGAAGGATAATATCTCAAATTCATGTAATTACTGGCATGCTGATCACTGCCAAAATATATAGTACTAGCGATCTGCCCCGGCTTTGCACGGGTGATTTCTGGATCTCAGCAACAGCACCACCTACTGGGTCCAATTGTGAATCAAAACTATTATTGAATCAACTAAATCACACACACAAAATTCCATCAAAATTGGTCCAGCCGTTTAGGGGGAGATCAGTCACATACACACGTACAGAAGAATTACCCGTAACTCCCATTGCGGGTGGAATTTCTTAAAATCCATTCTTAACTGACTTCTTGACTTGGTGAAAGGAATTTTCCCACGAGGGTGGATTGAAAAGTACTCGGCCTAACCAAGAAAATAAACAAATACTAAATCAGTTATATTTTTATTTTTCTACATAATCACCATCAAGTTCAATACACTTTTGCCACCTCCCCTTCCAAGCATTTAGACCGTTGAAAAAAAATGATTCTTCCTTAGAGTCAAAGTATGCGTCTACAGCTGCTTTGACCTCGTCGTTTGTCGAAAATCTTTGACCTCCCAAGTGCTTTTTTAGGTTAGGGAACAGAAAGAAGTCTGATGGTGCCAGATCAGGTGAATACGGCGGATGCGGTAACAGTTCAAAGCCACAGTTGTGAATTTCAGCCATTGACTGTACTGACGTGTGAACACGGGCGTTATCTTGATGAAACAGGACTTTTCTTCTGAGCATTCCTCGACGTTTTTCTTTTATTTCCTCTCGTAAACGACGTAGTAAGGTGCAGTAGTAATCAGAGTTTATATTCTGACCCCTTTCAAGATAATCAATCATAATCACACCTTTCGAGTCCCAGAATACTGAAGCCATCACCTTATTTGCCGACAAAATCGACTTAGCCTTTTTAGGGGGTGGTGAACCAGGTCTTCTCCACTGTTTTGATTGTTGTTTTGTTTCCGGTGTACAGTAATGAACCCATGTGTCGTCCATAGTAACAAAACGATTCAAAAAATCATCTGCATCTGCTTCAAATAACTCCAAACAGTCGCGTGAAATAGTCAATCGCGTCCTTTTTTGTTCAACTGAAAGCAGTCGCGGAACCCACCTCTCAGACACCTTGTGGAAACCCAACTCGTTGACAATGATGTTTTGAGTTCGTTCATAAGAGATGCCTATAATCTCGGCTATCTCTCTAATTTTTAATCTGCGGTCTCCCATTATTAAATCAAGTACTTTTTTAATATTTTCGTCAGTAGTTGACGTCGAAGGCCTTCCAGAGCGGGGTTCATCTTTCACACTCTCTCTACCACGCTTAAATTCTGCTATCCATTTTTTGACGGATGAATATGACAGAGCACAATCGCCTAATGTACTGACCATGTCATCATGGATGGCTTTTGATGATAGCCCCTTCTTATGGAGGTACTTAATGACGGCACGCTGCTCGATTTGCTCCATTCGCGGAAATTATGTCCGATTACTTTGTTAATAAATTTATAAAATCACAACTAATTATCGCACACGTTTCGAACTTCACACAATGAACTAGTCTGAACTGAACTAAATAATGTGGGTAGATTTGATTTTTAGAATTGAATGGATCTGTGTTAGGCCGAGTACTTTTCAATCCACCCTCGTACCAAATTTCAAGTTCCTTATGGTTCCAGAGTTATTGTGATGAGTAAGTACATATGTGGAAATCTTATATATTATTCTAATGTGTTTTTTACCTTTAAATACTGCCTCACATAGAATGTGATAATACTCATTCCTCATTTTAAAATAAACATTATCTCGTGCACTCTCTGCACATAGTTTACATACATAAATTTCACAAGGATAACTATCCAGACCCGGAATAATTATTTGTAGGCCATACAAATACTTATTCCGTGCGTAATTCGAACCCGCGGCCCTTAGCGTTGTGACTCAATGCTAAGCCACGGCGCAGCCAAATACCGACTCCATATTCCCTTAAACTGGGACACATCAATGGATGTGTGTGGTTTAGCGTTAAAAACAGGAAAGGTCAAGATACCTATCCTAAATTCCTACTCAGATTTTAGCTGGAGAACAACTTACAATATCATAACAATAGCAAAAAAAAGATCTGTGTAAGTAGTGGTACGAAAGTCTAGTAGTGGCCGTTATTGCCGGTATTATTATAAGTCAGTTGGCTTGTGTGGTATCGTTTGCACGCGCTGATTGGATCTCTAGTCACATTCATGCAATTCAATTTGTATTCTTATAACATTGGATATTTTATAATAATTTGCCTTAATTTCAGGATGTAAATTGCTTTCAAATATGGGAAATAATAAAACATTATATGTGTGATATTTCATATGGAACACCAGCAAATGCTTTAAAGAATGTAGCATTTGTTGATACAAGACCCACATTCCTGTCACCTAATGTTTGGCACTTTTATTATGCTGAAAGGTTATTTCTGCTTAAACTATTTCAATACATCATTCAATTCAGATCAAATATCAGTCACAAATATCATGAACAATTCACAAAAATAATTAACAATATAGGTATCCAGACCATAAAAACATCCCTTATTAAACAGTTTGAAAAATTGTTGTCGGAGGCACCACCATCCAGAAAAATTCAAAGTGAATTTGGTAGTGAGTTAATTCGACAAGAATGGGCAGAGTCAAATTTAAGGGAGCAACTTGCACTCTTACAAACTTTGTTATTAATAGTCAATGAAGAGCCAATATCTGAATCAGAATTCACTGATTTATTGAAGTTATTTAGAAAACACAGTTTTGGTAAAAACCAAAGTTATTATGAATTACTGGAAGAAAGGCATAAAGAAGCTTGTTCAAGAATTATGTACATGGAAATTTGTATATTTATGGTGATTTGTGATCATGAAAAAATGTAAGTATGTATTTAACTGAAAAATGTATAACATACTCAAGGACTAGTACCTACTAAAAAATAATAATTTATTTTCTTCCCTGCATATAGGTCTTGCTTTTGAATTATAGTGGATAAAAAAATGATAATGAATTACATGAATAATTTTCATCTTTTTATGAGTTTGAGTTTTAACAAAACTATTATTTGTTATTATCAAACATAACAAGCTAGTATTCTTTAAAATATCAATTACTTTTTCAATAATACCTTCAGTTTCAATTCAACTGTTACATTCTTACTTTTTTTTCAGTAAAAATGTATCCAGTTGGTTGGAAAGTACAAAAGACATAGTGGAGAGTGAGCTTACGAAGCTTGAACTATCTCCAGAACATAGTGCTATGCTCATAACATGGATGATGCTGACACTTCAGGTATAACTGTTTTGTAACATAACAACAATCAATATCCAAACAACTCCATAAGCAAATGCTATTGCCAGAAATTCATGTATTTACCCATTTATCTATTTTATTTAATGTCTTTTACAGCTACAATTGAAATGCAAATGGTTGTCTATACTAGCTTGGTTTCTAAAATGCATATTTATTGTGATTTCTTTTTCTTTTCAGAGTAAACAACATGCAAAATTATTTGAAAATCAATATCAGCATTATGGCGCCACAGCACTTAGAATGAGAGTTTTTGAATTCTTGCAACAGATGTTAAAGAATTCTGTTTTTTCAGTAAGTTTTAGCACTTCGTCTACATGCTTATTGTATAATTAAATCTGAAAGAATATTATAAAATAATCAAAATATTTATTAATAGAATGAGACGTTACTTTGTGGATTTTTTAAATGTTAATTACGATAAAATTAATGCTGAGATGAATATGCAAATATTTGTATTTCTTACTGCAGTACTTGCAGTGATTACTGTGACTATTATGATCTATTGTGTTTGCTGCTATGATTAATGTTCACCATAAATGCCTACAATTGTAATGAACTTGCTTAGGTGTGAGTATTGTTATTAGTTTTAGTTAGACCTGTCATTACCTTATTATTCCATGCTGGAGTGTTGAAATGCCTTACCCAATCTCCTACTATAATTCGGTTAGATTTTTTTTATAGGATAAGGGTGTTAAACGAGCACACAGTCCACCTGATGGTAAGTGGTTGCTGTTGCCCATTGACATCGACATCTATCCTCAATAAAAAATCAAAATGCAGATGCGTTGGCACCAGTGTAGACTAAGATGGAATGCCTCTTTTCCAGTAAAAAGGGTCTCCGGTTCTCTACACTCACCATACGAAACACAGTAATGTTAAGCTACTATTTTACGCTGGTATTCTGTGAGAGCGTGGTCCTTCCCCGGTCGAGCTGACCCATTCATGCTACAACTATACCAGTAATATAGCTGCAGCAATGCTCTACCATGTAAAGTTATCAACAAACAATTATTAATAAAATAGTTCTAAGCTGTGAAGTTTTGCCTTAGACTTATTGGGAAGTTACTTTAAAATCGATTACAAAATTGTACCCTACAGACAAACAGTGAAGAAAGCGAAGTAGTAGTAGCTTAAAAAACGTGGTAAAATAGTCAAAAGACGAAAGTGTATAAAACTAAAACGCAGCGCAGGTTCGTACAGGCGTGTGTATTCGTTGGTTGCATCTGTCACGCTGCATTTATACGGTCTGCGTTTTTTTAAAAATTGGAGTTGATTTAAAAAATGTTGGTTGAACATATTTCTAATATTTTGTGTCATTTTTGCGTAAAAAATAATATTTTCGTTTAATTTTTTTTTTTTTTTAATTATTCTTTCAGGACAAATCAAAATGTGCTTCGATAGCAAGACATCGCATATTTCGACTTTTAAACGATCTCTGTAATAAATTTGATGGAGATGGTACATTGAGTCAGCAGCCTGGTGTCATGATTCTTTGTTCAGAGCTACTCCAATCGCCTGAAATTACGGAGGAGTTTTGGAAATTGCGTCAAAAGGATGACGATTTTGGTGTTGTATCATTATGGAACACAGCTTTGGAATATTTTCCATACAATTTTAATGCATTATCAATTTTGTCTGCTGGATTAGCGCAAGCTGGGAATTCAAGTATTAGAAATGTAAGTATAGACTATTAACTGGTAGGTACATATTTTTTTGATTTGACACAATACAATACATACAATATTTGAATGAAATATTGCTACCTTTGTTTTGTAGCACATTATTACATTCAGTTTGAACTAAACAAAAACAAAAATGTTAATTGTTTTATATATATCTTAGTTCCTAAACTCTAAAGTCATAAGAAGCTTCAATGACAGCATTATTTAATTTTGTTCAGTTACCTCATGCTTATAACAGAATCACTAGTTTTTTTTTGTGCAAGTGGCTATGCAGATTTAGAAGGACCGTATCACTGCGACCTATAAGATCTATTGTGATTGCTGCTATGGCTATATAGTTCACTGCTAAGCCCTATCTCTTCAAGGAATTGAAGGAGTTGCTTAGCTGTGAGCAATTTAACTTTTGGCCGAAGTATGCTATGAATCGCTAGTTACATTGTATTATCAGTTATCACTTTATTACTTTAAAATCATCGTATTTTCAGTTATTAGCGGAATTAAAAAATCTCCCAGTCTATACTGAGATATACAACCCCAATGCGGTACCGATAATGTCGCTTCAAGGCGATGATGCCATAATAGGTCGTGAATATTGCCCCCTCGGCGACCCGTCCTACCGTATCGAAACTGGATCAAGAGCCACTATAATGGAAAGAAAAGAGGGTACCATGGTACATTTTAGGACGCCATACTCTTATTGGACTATATTTAACAACGAGATTGAAAAAGTATTGGATCGAAAGCAACATCATCAGCATAATATTAATGTTACTTTAGAGAGAGTATATGAAGGCACGAAATTGTTAAAAGGAGTTTTACAATGCCTAGCAGGAGAGACAGAAATTCCAAAGAGTCTTATAGGCCCTAGTGAAGGAGTTTTTGATGTGTTGCTGAGGTTTATGAGGGCAGAAGAACCACCTTTGCCATTATTAGTTGAATGCCTCAACGTCTGCACTGCATTGATAACATTTTTTCCTAAAGAAATTCATTTAAGGTATATTTGTGTGTTTAACTTGGAATTTTATTATATATTGAAAGTATGTTAACTATTTATGACTTTATTCACTCTAGGTTAAGAAACACTGGTCTTTTGCCACGAATTATAAACCACCAGTTATCGCATTTGGAGTATGCAAATGGGACGTCATTCGACTCGTCGGCTGTCGGCACCTATTTGGTTATAATTGAACAACCCAGTGGCTCGTATAACTTTTTAGGGGCCTATATTGATATGTTGTGTGCATTTTATGAGGTAAATTATAAATACCTGTATTTATTTTACATCATAGTTCTGGACTTAAAAACTTTTTAGTGTTCTTTATATACTTGTAAATCTATATCTATACAAATAAATAAAATTGAAGTATACAGTATACAATAACAGCTTTTTACTAAATGACAATTTTTAAAATTTTTGTCTGTCTGTCTATCGGTTTGTCTGTCTGTCTGTTTGTTCCGGCTAATCTTCGAAATGGCTTGACCTATTTCGACGGGACTTTAACTGGCAGGTAGCTGATGTTCTAAGGAGTAACTTATGCTACTTAGATTTGAGAAAAATAGTAGGATTCAGAGCAAAATAATTCAAACCCTAAATTACACGCGGGCGAACAGCTAGTAATTAATAAATGTGTGATCATTAGGTAGATTCATTAGGTAGAGGTCATAGTGGTGGCCATTGTAAGAATATCCACTTCCCCATATCGTTCCGTGAGTATCGTAAGAGGCGACAGGGGGAAATCAAACAGGAAATGGGTAGCAGTATCTTCCTGATAACAACATAAAATAATAAAAAACTGCAGTTGCCAAGCAAGGCTATTACGACAAAAATCCCCCTATGAGACAGTCATGGGGGATTTTTGCAGTAGTAGGCTTTGTTCAGCAGTGAAATTATTTAACATAACATAATATTTTTATAATTTACACAAATAATGGACATTTAAAAAAATTACGAATTTTATCGCGTTTATTTTAACCGACTTTTAATATCCGATGTTCCAAGTACTTTGCAGCAGCCGTGGTCATGAGGGGAGGGGGTGGCTATGGTACCACCTGTTCAGAATGTGAAATAATTGGGTTTAGATATGTTTGAAATTTGCTTCTACTTTTTATGAAAAGTAAAGTTTTCGTTAAATGGTAATAATATCTGAATGAGTTTTAAGACATTCATGCAAAATGTATTTTCTATACTGTGTAATGTTGTGCAAAATGACATACACATATATATATATATATATATATATATATATATATATATATATATATATATATGTATATATATACACACACACACACACACACATATATATATATATATATATATATATACATACAGATGCGTGTGTGCTATATTCAAAACTATAGCTATGTCGTTAATGTACATTAAATTGTAACATCTTATGATGTTTATCATGACATAAATTAAAAATTTCCAGACATCGAAAGAAGAACGCATAACGTCAGAAATAATTCTACCGGGCCTTGTACTCATCTTACGTGAAGTCTTCCCTAACATTTGTGGCTGGCGGTACATCAACAGTTCAGAGCGCAGAGGCTTGTTGCACCGATGCACCAAGTTTCTCACCTCCATAATGGAACCCACTAAAGAATCCAACAAAACTATCGAACTCGTCAAACGGACGTGCATACATAGTCTTTTATATATGGAAAACGCTCTAGAGCTACTGAAAATAGTTTCTATTGGTAGGTTGTTGATAAACATGATTATATTTTATAACAGTTACAGTTTTTAATGTACTTTGTAAAAAACCTGTATACAACGGATACCTACTACTCTCAAGTCGTTGGTCTTAGGTGCGAGGATGGCTACCACTGTGTTTAACTATTCAAGGCAAGACCAGGACTTTTCTGCTCCAAAGGTCATCATTACCATGATAAGAGGCAAAGGCAAGAGGCAGCAAAGTAGATGAGACAATATTTTTAAGCTTTTTCTCAATTAATCTAGAAATAATTTGACAATAATTGAGATTTTGAGAATTTATGATGTAGTATATGCTTTCCTTTCACTTATCATCCAAGTGTATAAATAATCAACGAATATATATTTTATTATACGTGGTAGAGCCATATTACACGTGGTTTTAGCACGAATGGGTCGGCTCGACTGGGGAAGGACCACGCTCTCACAGAATACCAGCATAAAATAGTAGCTTAACATTACTGTGTTTCGTATGGTGAGTGTAGAGAACCGGATACCTTTTTAACTGGAAAAGAGGCATTCCATCTTAGTCCTCACTGATGCTAACGCATCTGCATTTTGATTGTTTGTTGAGGATAATGTAGATGTCTATGGGTCACAGCAACCACTTACCATGTGTGCTCGTTTGTCGTCACCCTATCCTATAAAAAAAAAATAGTATTTTATATATGCTATTCATAGCACATATTTTATGTTCACACACATTTTATGTCAAATCAAATAATTTACAGGTAATGAACAACTGGAGCGAATGATACAAGACGATACTAACTGGATATCAGGAACCGGCTCACAGTACATATCATCTATCCAGAGGTGCCTTGCTATAGTGATGTTCGCACTGAAATTGAAAACTCTGGTAGCTGAGGAAAGTGAAGTGACACCGATGGAGAAGCTGATCTTTGCTCAAAACAAGCAAAAAGATTTGTTGAAAGTTGTGCCAAAAATAACCAGTTATATTAACCACGCGTTTAATAAGAGTCTTCCTGTACTAAGTTGTCGACTTTTGAAAAGATTTGCGGATGTAAGTCGAATGTATATTTATGATTATTCTAATACGTAAAACATTTAAACATTGTAATATCAATAAATAAAATTGAAGTGCCTGTTTGTAATGTCAAAATTACAGCTTTTTACTAAATGCATATGACAGTATATACAGTACTTATAAAAAAACTACAATTTTTTAAAGTTTTGGCTGTCTGTTTGTTCCGACTAGTCTCCAAAACGGCTGGACTTATTTTGACGGGACTATTACTGGCAGATAGCTAATGTCATAAGGAGTAACTCAGGATACTTTAGAAAAAGAATTAAGGTGCCGCGCAAAAAAATTAAAACCGTAAATAACACGCGGGCGAAGTCGCGGGAACAGCTAGTTGTATTATATAAAATCTATCGCGAACTAATTAATGAGTTTTAGCATGTTTTATTTTTTCCAGCCTAATTTTATCTTTTTTATTTACCGACAAAATATCAAATATTTGTTTTGCATTACACTTGAAAATTCATTCAATCAATTTGTTTTTATTTTTAGGGTTTTCAAATGTCACTATTCGCCTCCTTAGACATGACCGCGTACCAAGTACGCGTTATGTTTTTGGATCGCTTACGGGACGAATATGAAACAACTGCACTAAAAGTGGCCATATTAGAGTTTGTTGCCACATGTATTGGTACGCAACCAGGACTCACTGAAGCTTTCTTTATGATGAATCATGAAAGATTAAAAAGTGAAGAAAAAGACAAAGATAACAACGAAAAGGAGGCAAAAGAACCAGAAGACAGTTTTGAAGGAATATTAGGATATATGGCTGACTATCTTGGGAGCGTTAAAGCGGTAAAAACCATTAAAAAAATCATTTTTTTTTTAATTAATAATCATACTTCTAACTCTATTTCTTTATTTTGTAATATTACACAGGACTAATGGTCGCTTATCCTAGAAGCAACCTGTATTTCACTTTCAACTGCACATTTATATATATATATATATATATATATATATATATATATATATATATATATATAAGTCGTTACAGGCAAAGGTTAAGAAATACAGACGTGTACACATGTATAGTTTATATTCATTTATTATTGAAAATATTTGCACACATAATTATTCACTGGTACATTTCAAAAAATGATTCAAAAGTTTACTAAACCCAGTTGCTACTCAGAATATTATTATATATACTTTATTGTACACCACAAAAAACGATAAAAAAAAAGAACAAATTACAAGGAGTAAAACTTAAGAGGTACAATAAGGCGGTCTTATCGCTAATAAGCGATCTCTTTCAGACAACCGTAAGATTAGGAGAAAGTTGTTCTATTGGACAGTGGGAGGTGGTGTATATTATAGTAAACTTACAAACTAATACCTAAATAATCTAAACTGATACATAATAAAAAAAAATATTTAATACACTAATATGATATACGTTCAAAATATAATAGACATACATAAGATTAAATAGGCAAATAAACATAAAAATTACACAAATAAATACAAACAGGATACAAAAAAATACATGTCGCAAATGATAACCAGTAGTTATTGCACTGTTAGGTAGTAATTTTTGACGTCAGTCTTAAACTTTTATAGTGTTTTCGCACGACGAATTTGCAAAGGAAGATTCCATAAGCAGATGGCCTTGACTGTGAAGGAGTTTTTAAAGTATTTAGTTCGATATGAATGTGGTGCGAGTATAAGTTCTCCGGCTGACCGTAGAACTCTGTCCGGTCTGTCATGACCAAGAAACTTAAAGTTTTCCTTCAGGTAGCTAGGTATCATTGGATCGAATAATACACAGTACAGAAGAGAAACAATTTGTAGGTTCCGGCGAAAGCGAATGGGTAACCACTTGAGCTTTAAACGGAATTCGGAGACATGGTCATATTTGCGCAAGCCAAATATGAACCTAATAGCCAGATTTTGAATACGCTCAAGTTTGTTTAGTTGATCATCAGTTAAATCAAGATAATATATAATCCCGCATAATCGAGAATAGAGAGGAGTAAAGATTGTGCTAACATAATTTTAGTAGGAATGGGAAGGAAAGAACGTAAACGCCGCAATAAACCCATAGCAGCAAAAGTCTTTCTGCTAACTTCTTTCAATTGATGAGACCACGAGAAAGTAGTATCGAAGTGGATACCAAGATTTTTAATGGTGCTACTGTAAGGTATTACAACACCATTCAATAACACCGAGGGAAAGTTATTCCAGTCAACTCTTGAAAACATCCCAGCACCACCAACAATAATGGCCTGAGACTTACAAGGATTAACCCTGAGCCCATAGTACTTCATTCGCTAATAGCCGCCAGGTCAGCATTGATGGCAGAAACAGCGGTAGGCAGGTTCTCAAGAATTGACTGCGTATACACTTGAAGATCGTCTGCATACATGTGATAGAGAGAAGAAATTTTGTGACAGATCGAATTAATGAAGATAGCAAAGAGTAAAGGAGACAACACACCACCTTGAGGCACTCCAGCTCGTAGTTCACACCAAGATGAAAATTTATCTTCAACGCGAATACGCTGCCGTCGTTCAGTTACGAATATCACTTTGTAACTGAACCATAAATTTAACTCGGAATCGTACACGCTTCCCTGCCCACTTAGCTGATATCTATAAACAAAAGGTAAAGGTCTCCACACTTTCTGACCATCTGTGTGGATGTAAACAAAAAATAAGAAATGTTTGTGAAGGAAAGAAATCTTTGTGACTTTGGCGGCCGACTCCGGTCGTAATACCTGCATGGGATTTCTAGGAATTTGTTACAAATGATTCATTAAAAACAGTCGCTACACCCGAACTCGGCGTTACATCCAAAGTCGCTATAGCCACACGAATTTTGTACTAAACTATGCTTTAAATTCAAGGGACTTAGATTTAACGTCGCTATAGGTAAATACAGTATAGGTCGCTACAACCTAGGTCGTTTTAAATGTCCACTGTATATATATATAAAGGCAGGTAGGCAGTTGAGACAACTGATAATGCCTGTATCCTGTTTGTCCCCACTAGTTACTCCTTTTGCAGTTCAGAAAATGATTATGGAATCTATTTTTGAATTAGTTTATATTTTTGGCTGAGACTACGTTTCCTGACTGCTTATTCCACTCTGTCACTACATGGTTACAAATGAGTGCTTGTGAGGGTTGTTGTTTGAAAAGCTAGTAAATAGCTTAAGATAGTGGCCCCTGAGGTGTTTTCATTATGAATAAATAATTTGTCAAACTCCTCAATGTCGTAATTGAAATGTCCACTTAAAATCTTAAAGGTCTCAATTAGATCTCCTCGGTCCCTGCAGGTTTTTTAATGTTGTAAGTTTTAAAACTTTCAAACATTCTTCTTAAGGTGGCACAAGTCGCGGGCTCGAACTCGCTGGTGGGCGCGGCCAAAAAGCACGCTGTCTCACCTGGCACCGTGCCCGACAGAGACAGTATCAGTGATGAGCATATCGACACTAGTATTCACGCATGTCTTGTTCGTACGGTGTTCCGAACCGTTAGAATGAAAACGAAGTTACACGAACACGATGCAACATCTATACTAATATAATAAAGCAGAAGAGGGTTTTTGTTTGTTTAAACGTGCTAATCTCTGCAACTACCAGTCAGATTTGAAAAATATTTTTTTGGATATTATAGCCAGATTCATGTTGAATAGTATAGGCTATACAGCATTAGGCTATATATCTCAGCTAGCCTATATTTGTTAAGGAAGTCAGAAGAAAAAGCGCTGTTATGGTTCGGGATACGTAAATACAATGTTCTAGAAAAATATACATCTTTACTCCGTCTAAAAAAAGTCCGCGATAGGTACCATATGTCTATTTCTTATATATAAGCCACAATTAGGCATTTTGTGACAAAAAAAATGAAAATTTAATTATTAGGCACCTTACGAACCAAAGTTACTTCATTATCAAGACAATTTTATGAAGATAAACTTCGTTCTTTATACCATGTTTATATAGTACATAGTTTAAGAGATAATGTAAAATTAAAATAATTCAATACCTACTTGGCTTGACGCGCAAACAACGCATAACCCCTAGCCCGGTGCGAACTGAGAAGCCAGTATTGAAAGCTTCTATGAGCGAGGTTAGGTTAGCCGTTAGTTCAATCGTTATCTATATCTACACAAACAAATAAAATTGAAGTGTCTGTTTGTAATGTCAAAATAACAGCTTTTTACTAACTGCGTATGAAACTGTATACGGTACTTATAACATTAACACAATTTTTAACATTTTTGTATGTCTGTCAGTCTGTTTGTTGCGGTTAATTTCCAAAACGGCTGGACCGACTTTGACGGGACTTTCACTAGTAGATAGCTCATGTTATAAGAAGTAACTTAGCCTGCTTTAATTTTAGAAAAATTATTAGGTGTCTTTGCAACAAAATTAAGGCCTTAAACTAAACGCGGACGAAGTCGCGGGGTACAGCTAGTAGCTAAAATAAATTCAAAATTAATTGAGTACTTTTATCTATCTCCCGGGTGAGCGTAGCAATGATTACGAGTACTTGTGTGTGTGAGTACTCGTAGTTACATCTTTATTTCTGAACTCTTTCATTTCACGTTGCTATGGTATTTTGAAAGTTTAAATTTAATATTAAAAACTATGATAATAAAAAAAAAAACTAAAACTAGAAACTTAATTATCATATAGTCCTACTCCCCGCGGTATCGTGCCAAGAACGCTGGCTGCGTTTCCCCGCTGAATGGCTATACTTAGCCTTTGAGCGAGGAAAGAACCAGCCCTCTTATCACCAGCAGCAACGACCAGCCGCGCATGGAGTTCCTTTAGGAACTTCACCGCACGTGGACGCCACGGACCGATAGTCTCTACAGCAAATGGCACAAATATGTAGTCATCTCTCAGAGACTCATATTTGCGCCACTTACTCAGTTCAGCTGCCTCTGATGCCGCCCCGGCTTTAAACGAGGTACCCCTGAGATGAGAGGCCGCCAGAGTGTCTACGCAAGTAGCATCCCAAAGTATAAGTTTACATTTTATTATTTAAATTTAATTGATTAATAAGTATAAGAGGTTGATAGCAAATTTATCAAGAATCATTTCTTGCCTACACACTTTTCATGTATCGTGTACGTTTTTCTTTAAAACTGGAAAAAACCGCGCATAATATGCCGACAGATAAAATAAAAGTACTCCATTAATCATGACAATTTTTCCATACATTACAATCAAATAAAATATTTGATTGCAATTATAAAATGCTTGAACTAGGTGTCATGTCATGCCACGCATCTCGGACACGTGATAACGCGGGTGAAACCGCGAAATTATTAGGTATACCTCTGTGGCTCTATATACCTAATATAGATTGCTTATTTTATTATGTTTAGTTTTCCCCGAGTGGTCATGCAGCAATCACTCAAGAGTTCGGCTTCGAACGTGTGTAACTCGATAATTATCCCACGGCAACGAAATACCTGAATAAACGGTATCATATATGATATTTGGCAGCTCCGTGGCGCAGTGGCTTAGCAATGAATTGTTGTACTGGGAGCCGCGAGTTCGAATCAATCGAACAAGTATTTGTATGGTCTACAAATAATTGTTCCGGGTCTGGATGTTTGTAAACTGCCTCCACGATACAGGAGAAAATCAGTGTGGGGTAACGTTTTTTTGAAAAAAAAATCCAGACTATAGCCTATCTCTGAGCAAAATATCATCCAGATCCCTTCAGCCGTTCTGGCGTGATTGAGTAACATACATCCATTCATCCGTCCATCCAAATATCCAAACTTTCGCATTTATAATATTTAGATAATAATCGTAATTAGTTCTCCTACCTATAAATTGTTTTCAAAAATACTTACTTACCTGTCTTCTTACTTTTTTATATATACTCAATATCACTAAACGTAAGCACAGGTTTTTATCAAGACAAGTGACCCATCAAGATTGTTTTCTTAGTACTGACGTACCTACCTAAAGTTTACAATTTTGTGGCCACGACGCGGCGAGGTTTTGTGACATTTTGTTGTATTGTAGATTGTAGGTATCTAGGTAATAACAGTAGGTACCTATGAAAATCCCACATAATATACTTTGTTTGTCCGCCGCAAAAGTCGTCTAATAAATAATTAAACTGTTTTGTAATTCTTTATTTATTTATAACACTTGCATTGAGAGCCGTGGTAGCTCAGATGGTTAGCGCTCGCTGTAAGTATCACATTACGCGAGCAACCCGGGTTCGATCCCCGTCGGCACCAATGAAATTGTTGCAATTTTATATAGTAATCGAATATAGACTTTCCTTTTTTTACTTTTATAATTATATTATATTACAGACGAAAATTTTAAAATATTGTCTGTCGTCCAAAACGCATCATCTCTTTCAATTATATCAATTTCCATGCCGTCTTTTGTCTTTGGCGTCCAAATTACAAAATAGCAAAACTTTTCGTTTCGAATATAACTCGAATATAAGCGCGCATCACCGCCTGTGCGTGTGTGTGTAAGCATCGTCCTCCCGCACCGCACCGGAGGATACATTATTCAGTGAGATGCACGATAATTCATAGTAGCATGCGCGCGTAAAAAAATACGAAAAGGCCTTTGGAAGAAGGGGTTTTATGAAAAAACCACTGCATTAATCAATTACAAATAAAATTTATTGAGTTCTTCGATAATTGAGTTGTGTCGGTACCGACTTTGTTTTAGAAATTTTTCACTTCTTTTATTACTAATTTACGCCCAAAGTTGTGTTAAAATTGGTAATAAAAACGAATCTTTGGTAGCTCGTAACTTTTTAATAACATTTTATTTTACTATTCTGTTTCCGTACAGACAAATTTAATAATGAGACAAAACGATATCATGTTTAATTTTGGATGTACACTGTCAAACAGCGGAGTAAAACCCCTCCGAAATTTCTATGGAAAATGTCGACTAGTGTCACCTTAAGACTGCCTTATATACTACCCATGGTACCTTAGTGAATCTTTGAGGTTGACTCGAAGTCTGTATTCTAAGATTGGCCTTAAATGTTTTGTGGATTTTAAGCATCATTTTCAGTTCTAGGACATCGAAAGCATTTCTCACAAGGTAAATTAGTAATTTAGCTTTCTTGACCATTGTTAATATAATAAACTCTTTCCACTTAGTCTTCTGCAATTAACACAAATATCCAATATAAATAAAAAAATGCTTGTTTGCCTTGACATACACTCCACAGACTATTGAATAAAAACATTTGAAATCAAACAAATTTCACAGCTTATTTAGCCAATCTGATTTTAATTAATTATTATTTATTATATTATTAATGTGGGAAACATTTTAAAATTATTTGACGAGAATCTCAATTCTGTGCGACTGTTCGACCACTAACTATTAAGTGTTTTGCATGGTCAGTATGAACATATAAACAATTAATGTTTTATATTTATAACATAAATAATTTGGCAAATTAATTAAAAAGGTGTATAAAGTTTTCTCTTCACAAATAATTTTATGCACATATTATAAATAAATATATTCCTTTTGAATAAAAATCTTCTAGTCACTTTCCTCTATGTATATTTACGATCCTTAAAAAAATGCTAAAAAAAATTATTAAAATTCCAGATCAATTAAAAATATGGTAATTTATAAGATAAGTTTACATTTTATTATTTAAAAACTGCTATCGAACAATTAACAGAAAGATTATACCCAAACATCACATACTATGTATCTACTAATAGCAAAAGTTAAATTTAATTTGCAAAATTAAGTTAAGTTTGCAAATTTGACAGCTTTTTTTAAACTCCAGAATTTTGCTGTTACACAGGTTAACGCAGTTTGTTGTACTGATATACCAAAAAAAAAATAGCATTATTTTATAAAGATAATTTTCCTTGTTTCCAGGACGCCAAATTATTGCACAGTCCACTACTGGCTTGTATCATGGCGCTTTTTCACGCACTGTGGAAAAACAATATGCAAATTTTAGTCAAGAAACTACGTGAGAATCCAAAATTTTGGGAATACATGACTAGTCCACTATTTAGCGATATTCAACCTGGCTTGAGAACCTATGGACAAATATTCAATGTACTTGGTATAGAACTATTTGTATCGAGGGGTAAACTAGAACCTAATCTTAAAGAGATGCTAGAACTGTTTTTTGATACAAACAAAAATCATTTAGATAAGTGGATAGATTTCATTTTCTCTTTCCATGGCAGAAGCGATGATGAAGAGCCTGTTGACAAAGTTCCTGTGTGGCTAAGTTTGTTAACCTCATGGAAAGATTTCATGACAATCTTCTGCAAATGTCTACCAATAAGTTTAAACATCGCACACAAAGCTAAAATGGTTGCCCCTTGCATGAACGCTTTATTGACAGAATTGGATGAGTTAAAAGACAGTCGACTAGTTGTAATACTTGCTGAGCTGTATGTAATATTGTTAGCAAATTGGAAAGAAGACTGTTTCGATAATCGAAAAGCGAGCGCCAAACAAATCGATAGTCTTCTAACAAATACAGCAGTTGTGTACGAATGTTTGCACCCGAGAGCAATTCGGGCCATATTATCGATTGGAACAGTCGCTATTAGCAGCTTAGATTATGAGATAAAAGCAAATAGTGTAACTGCTCAAGGCATAATTCGATCCGTAACAAATATCAACAGTATTGAGTTAGAGAAATTGCTTGATAACATCAGTGATAAAACTGAGACTGTGCGAGATACACACACTAAAGAGGAAGTGCCACCTGTAGTTCTATCTCTCGCTATGTTAGAACAATGTCTAGATTTGTATGACGATATGTTCTCAGGTCTGTCACAGTGGTTCCAATCATCGAAATTTATAAATAAATTACTTTGTTGCCTACAAGCCTGTTTGCAGAATCGTAGTCATTATTTCACATCTTTAGCTGCACTAAGATGTCTCACAGCGTATGCTAGAGGTCCATTTAATAAAGATTTACTAATGAGCGATGTCGATCAGTTCCTCTGGATGCAACTACTTCCGCCCAAATTTGAAAATAATGGCAATGCTGCATGGAAACCACAAGAATGGTGGCGAGTGTATGCTTACAGTTTAGACTTTATATCTATGATGGTGATGAAACATGGTCAGTTCTTCGCGAGTGATGCAATAACATTTGTAGGAGTTCACTTGGAACATTTGATTGAAGCAGTGCTACTGCCACGACATGTTTACAACATCGACGCGTTAAATCTCTGTGCTGCCGCTCTGAATCTGGTTGTGCAGTTAGTCAAGTATGAGACAAGTTGGCGTCTTCAGAATATTAACTCTTTAGTTGGGATTATGGTAAGTATAAAATTGCTTTTGTAACCTTATATTTTTAATAACATTAGATTGACAAACGAGCTAACAATTTACCGATTGTTTAGAGACTGTTTTTTTTTTGTTTAAATAACCAGAAGAACTTTCGTCTGTCGTGACAAACAGTCTAACCCAAATAATTTATCTGTAGGCGCCGCAGTCCAAAACATACTCGCTTTGCTATAGAATAGTCTATAGAAATTCAACTAAAGAAGGCTATTATATATACTCTATCTATTTATTATTTCTTCTTATAAGCCTTCTAATTTAGGAGAACTTGTGGTTGATAGATCTTGTTATTGGCCTTGGGTTCTTTTTGGGATCCACTGTGCTCCAGTATAAAACATATTGAGCCAGTATAATTACACACTATGTTATCTATATCTATACTACATTACAGGACATTTATGCTTCAGGTTTTGTGTGAACGCAGGCAGGTGTTCATAGAATGCAGTATAGAGGCCCAGACTATTAAGTGCACTGTTAAGCAATTTATCACTCCAATGTTATGTTATAAAAAATTATATATGTGGTCATGATAATAATATACTAAAGTAATTTAAGAAATGCTTAAATGTTTTCCCTGATAATTAAGACTAAAGATATTACAAATTAAATGGCTAAGATCGAAGTAATAATGTTTAGCTGTATAGTGTTTTACCAAGTTTGAAGATTACTAAGGTTGAAGTTTATTAAATAAGCAAAGTAACATCTGTTTCTATTAATTAGATCTATACTTAATTTATTATTTAGATTATAAGAAAGGCCGATAATTATTAGCATTATGTTATATTTGCAATTTAGCGCAGTATTAGCGCGTGCCTGTATCAGTGCGTAACTGTGATGCTGAGAACGCGGCGCACGTCCGAGCCCGCGCTGCAGCTCCACGACGACACACAAGTCGCCCAAGCTGCACAAGCTTCACAAGCCACGCAAACACAGGCTGTGTTGCACAGGTAACTTCATCGTCACATCTTATCTTGTAGATTTTGTCAATTGACCAGGGACTATATTTGCACTATAGTAATTACTTCATTGCCCTCACTCTGTGGTACTTGAGTTTGGTATTCTCTATTCAACAGTGGATTTAAACATGGACGTAGGAAGTTTAGAATCATTGTTGTTCTTTTTTACTTTTACTAATTTTTTTTATTGTTTTTATTTGTTGTTGACTTATTGTTAAATGTATACTTTTAATTCACAGGACCCTTGAGATTTTGCACATGGCAACACTTTGCCTCCTCGCGTTCAGTCCAGATCTGTTGTCACTTCTGGCCGACCCGGGACTGGACCTAGAACGTTGGCAGCCGCTAGTTGAACTTCACTTTGGTGCACCAAAGATATCATATGAGCCATTCCCGCAATTGACATTTGGAACCATACTCTCGGCTATATGTTTGTTAACGCGGTCATTAAATCATGTAAGTTCAAAAAGCAGCTGTTAATTTAGTTATCAATGTTTGTATTTCTTTAATATCATAGTTATTTAAAAAAAATCATTGATAATTAATATCTGTCAAATTTAGCTTGATAATTTTGACAGCTCACTGTAGGAATGGGGTGGTGTATAATCGTTAATGAATCTATTCGATTATTATTCTCATAGAACTTGCAATCGATAATTGCATGTTTATGCTATAGGGATTTGGAATTTTGAACAATTTCTTATCTATTGAATTAATAATAAATTATTAATCTATACATATAATAAAACTGTAAATAGCAGACGTCTGTACATTTTATATTTTTGTAATAAAAGTCATTGAGGGGTACTAAAAATAAGTAATTAAATACATTTCTACCATTTTAGAATTTTCTGTCTGTCTGTTTGTTTGTTAACGTATCACGTATAAAGTACTAATTTCTATCATAAGAATCGTTAAGGAAATTATAAAGTGTATCTACGGGTTACATTTAGTCTTTATTTCATTAAAATCAGTTTATTCCATCAAAAGTTATGACAAATATTCTGAAGTATGGGTACTAAGTATAGGTACGAATTTGTTCATTAGTGGCGTTGTATGAGTCATCAAGTACATTTTATATTAGTATCATATTATAAATCATAATTGAATGATGTAAAATAATGTTCTATAATGATATAATTATATCTAAAACGCAGTAAACAAAAGTATTACATAAAGAACGTAATTAATATATACAAAAATATATTAACCTTATTGTCTAAATCTAAAGTACAATAGTTAACCAATTTCATCGATAGATGGTGATGTTGCACAAATGTGATACAAAAAATATCTGTTGACAATAAATTAAAAACAAAAGGCAGGTTAAGGTATTTTCCTGTAGATGAGTTTCATATTTGTCTAATCTTTATATTACACGTTGCCCTACTGCGTGTTGACAATCTCGTTTATTTTTTACCGCTGAGTACTCTATGTGGTAAATCAAATTTTAAAAGGACTATTAACAATTTCGTTTGTCGGCGAGGATCAAACTTCCTTTTTTGTTTACTATGCAGGCACTGATGTATAAGTTCTTTTATGTTTTTTATTGTATCAATCGCGTCAATTCATCTCTTATTTTTTAGAATTGATGTTAACAGCGCCATCTCTCTTTAAATCTATACATATAATAAAAATGGTGATAACATGTTGTCTGTTTCTGTACATTGTATAGTATATTAATTTGTGACTAAAATCATTACGGGGACTGAAAATTATTAAATAAGTACATTTTTATAATTTTTAGAATTGTACTGTCTGACGGTCTGTCTGTTTGTTTATGAACCCATGAAACATCTTTTTTCAATGAAATCTTTAAGAAAATCATAAAGCGTATTATCGAGTTCATTTAATCTTTGTTTTATTAAAATTGGTTAATTTGGGGGATGTGGATGTGGATGTGGAGATGAGTCGCTCGCGTCCGTAGGCTTCGACCACCTAATCCTAGGTCCACCCTACACTTGTCCCCCGGGTGGTGCTAAACGAGCGACAAAGCCGAAACGACAGACTCGGCTTCTCGCCGTATGGTAGCGGCGTAAAATCTACCACCCATTAGTTCGCACCATGAGCCAAGTAGGAAAAGAAATGGCCCCGAGTTCCCGGCGCCCCTTTAATGGGGCAGGGGTGCGAAGAATCTCCGGGAGAAAAACCGGCGACGAGGTTCGCCACCCGTCACGTCCTGTCTCCCGGGGGGGCGAAAAGTGGATTGCGGAGGCCCGTCTGGCTACGCTGAATGTATGTGGAGCAATGAATGATAAGATGGATGAAATATGCGAAATGATGAATGATAGAGGAATAGATGTGTTATGTGTGAACGAGACGAAACGAAAGGGAAGAGATGTCACTGCACATGGCATGTATACCGCTTACTGGTCTGGAGTAGACGAAACCGAGCGGGCATGCCAGGGAGTCGGTGTCATCCTTTCAGAAAGAATGAGTCAATGTGTGAAAGAGTATGAATGTGTTAGCCCAAGGCTGCTGTGGATACGAATGAAAGTGGGCTTAAAGAAGTTGTTTGTGCTAGGGGTGTACGCCCCAGATATGTCTAAGCCCACTTATATCCGAGAGCAGTTTTGGGACATGGTAAGGCTGGTGTTGATGAAATGTAAGGAAAATGAAAATATTATTATGTTAGGAGATTTTAATGGAAGGGTTGGGGTGAAGAGGTCTGGTTATGAAAGGATATTAGGAACGTTTGGCGATGAAAGAATAAATGAGAATGGTGAAGACCTCCTCACCGTATGTGTGGAAAAGAATCTTTTTGTGGCGAACACTTTCTTTCGCCATAAGAGGATTCACATGTATACGTGGGAAAGAGGGGATGATAGAAGCATGATAGATTTTATAATTGTGGATGAAAGAATGAGGAGCGCAGTGGTAGATACAAGGGTTTACCGGGGGTCCAGCGTAGGGGCGGATCATTACTTGGTATTATGCCGAATTAATGGTCTATTCAAACGTTGGCGGCATCGGACATCTGTGTCTACCACTGCGTTACAGCGTATAAGAATAGAGAGGTTACAAGATGAAGGTGTGAAAGAGAAGTATAAATGCAGACTGAGGGAAAATATAGGTGGGTTGAATGAATTATGTATGAATGATTTGGAATTGAAGAATGTATGGAATAATATTAAAAAAGTTTTGGTGGATGCAGCCACCGAAGTATGTGGTGTAAGTAAGAGAACGAATGAAAGGAAAAGTAATAGGTTGTGGTGGGATGATGAGGTACGGATGGAAGTTGAAGCAAAGAAGAGAGCATGGCTAGATTTACTAGCAACTAAAGCTGGTAATTCTGGCGGTATGAATGATGAGATTGAAAGAAAAAAGGCAGACTTTAGACGTATAAATAAGAGAGTAAAAGAAGTTGTTGAAAGGAAAAAGCAAGAAAGGATAGATAAAAATGATAGAAGGATATCTGATAACTTCCAGGAAAATATTAAAATGTTCTGGAAGCTCGTAAGAACTGCCAGGGGAAATTCAAAACAACCTAGAATGAATGCTATACGAGACGAGAATGTTGAATGATGAAGTTTCGAATTTAAAGAGATGGAAGGAATACTTTGAAAGCGTGTTTAAGAGTGAAGAGTCGTCTGAAATAAGTGAAATAGAAATTCCGGAAGAAGTGGAGAGAGGTAGGGAGATAAGTGTAGATGAAATAATGAAAGCAATGAAAAGCATGAAAGCAGGTAAGGCAGCCGGATATGATAGAGTATCACTCAAAATGCTAAGGGCTGGTGAGGGTGTGGTTGCAGGCCTGCTGTACACCTTATTTAATTTGTGTTGGGAACTGAAGCGGGTACCGGAAGACTGGTGCAAAGCCGTTATAGTCCCAATATATAAGGGAAAGGGGTCGCAGCAGGACTGTAAAAACTACCGTGGTATCAGCTTGCTTAGCATTGTGGGTAAACTGTATGCTAAGGTGTTAATTGAAAGAGTTATGGAAGAAACTGATGGAAAAATTTGGGATGTGCAAGCTGGATTTAGAAAGGGGATGGGGTGTACGGATCAAGTCTTTTCCATGCGCATGATAGCGGAGAAGTTTTTGGCCAAAAACCAGAAAGTTTTTTGTGCGTTCATGGACTTGGAAAAGGCTTATGACAGAGTGGACAGGAATGTGTTATGGCAAACACTGAACTCATTTGGGTTGAGCGCTGGCTTGATACAGGCATTAAGGTCTCTTTATAGGGACTCTAGTGCTTGTGTCAGGATCAACGGGGTCTACTCGGACTGGTTTGGCATTCATAAAGGTGTCAGACAGGGATGTGTGGCTTCCCCGTGGCTGTTTAACCTATTTATGGACAGTTGTTTGCAAACTTTGAAAGTTGAAGAATGTGGGTTGAGAATGGGTGAGTCAACCGTCAAATGCCTTTTGTACGCCGATGATCAAGTCATATTTGCATCGTCGGCGGCCGAGTTGCAAATGATGGTTACTTTAATGAATTGGTCATTGAAAGAAAGGGGTATGAAAGTAAACGCAAGTAAGACGAAAGTGATGGTTTTTGAAAGAGAAGAAAGTAAAACTTTATGTGAAATAAGAATAGAAGGGGAGTTGATTGAGCAAGTGGATGAGTTTGTATATTTGGGATGTTTATTTAGCAGGGATGGTAGATATGACAAGGATATAGAACGACGAGTGAACGCAGGAAATAGAGTGAATGGGGCTCTACACGCCATTATGAGGAGTCAGAATGTGTCAACTAAGGCACGTATGGCAATTCATAATGCTGTGTTAGTTCCTACTTTAATGTATGGTAGTGAAAGTTGGGTGTGGCAGAAGAAGCATGAGAGTAGATTAAATGCTGTAGAAATGCGGTCCTTAAGGAGTATGCTAGGGTTGAATCTGAATGACAGGGTGAGAAATAGTGTGATAAGACAAAAGTGTGGTTTGCAAGATGACGTCGTGACAAGGATTAAGAAAGGAATGCTTCGGTGGTTTGGTCATGTAGAAAGAATGAACGAGGCAAGAGTGACAAAGCAAATTTATGTTGCAGAAGTGAACGGCAGGGTCGGGAAGGGACGCCCTAGACGAAGGTTTATCGACCAAATCGGCGATACATTAAAAATGGGCCAGATTAGGAGTACCCTTAACCGACGAGCGTGTATGCGTAGATATATGGATGTAAAAGAGGCGAGAGAGGTGTGTCAGGATCGCGCCAAATGGAAGTCCGTAGTCTCTGCCTACCCCTCTGGGTGACAGGCGTGAGTGTTTATGTTATTATGTTATGGTTAATTCTATCGAAAGTTATGATAATTATTTTGAAATATAAGTTCGAATTTGTTTAATGGCGCCATAAAATATCTGAAATAGTTATAAAATATTTATACTTAAAACACAGTAAAAAAAATATGTTTTCCTTAAATAAAAAAAAATATGTTTTCTCACAAAGAACGTAATAGATGGCGTTGTACAAAATTTTCTGCCTTTTCTGAATTGCGGTATTAATATTTTTCGCCGGTGATTCGTATTAGTCGTACTCACTGAAGAAATTAATGTCCATGAGCCAGATGAAGCCATGGGGTGCAACTTAGAACATTATTTTACGAACAAAATGATACGTTTTATGTGCTTCCATCTACATTCCGAAGCGCTAGGCTAGACTTATTTTAATCTCACTAGAGGGCACTTATATATTAAAACTATGCATACGCAATAATCCACGCGCACTACGCAGTTAGTAGCGGTCACTGGTTACGCTTAAATTGTTATTAATATTTATTGAACATTATTTATTTTTAGAAAATGCCATTTTATCTGTGTTTTCAGACAATGAAAACTGCTAAAATATTATTAGAATACGAAGGTAAATTTCGCCACAACGCACGAGGTTATAATAGCTCAGGTGGATAATCGGGTGGTCCTGAAATCTAAGACCCCGGATCGCGTCCAGTAGATGTGTTTATTTTTTCCCTTTTTTTCAAGTTCCTTCTTTTGTAAGCGCCGTCTGTTATGCAAAGCACAACACTAAAGAAAATTAAATTTGAGTCGTGCATATATTTCTAGTATATATACAGTAATCTATGGATGAAGCTGTAAGAACCGTGTAGGCTAACATCACAATCATCATCAGAAACAAAAACCAGAAAAAAGATATGTACGCCAAAGTAATATGCAACAAAACTCGACTAAAAGTAGCAAAATTGCAATAAAATTTCGTGATATTGTTTTATACCCAGAATCCCTCTAATACCAAATAACTTTCCTTTCAATTTAAGATAGGGATGATCGATGTTGCAGAAACATCGATGTTGACATCGATGTTGGCATCGATAGCTCAACATCGATGTGCGATGTATAACCTACTCAAAACATCGATGTTGCCCATTATCGATGTTTTTTGTATATGTGTAGATACTTACACATTGTTTTAAAATTATGTGGGTATACACAGCAAGGGAAAAGTAACAATTAACTTGAATATCAATTTACGTAGAATAGTTATTATGCGACAACCGTCAACGACACTACAAAATAAAGCGAAAGCAGTGACCATTATGACATTACAGTTGACACTTGACAATTAAGTTTGACACACTATAATGACATTTTTTTAGGTTAACGATGCGTTCAGGAATTCTGAATTATTCAAAACTTTTAATCTTCAGAGCAGATGCAAGATTTAGTTGATATTGATTTCGCGCATTGTTTGCAAGTGCCCAATTATCGATTTTGGGTTCATTGACGTCTATGTTTCGATGTTTGACATGTGTCAACATCGATGTTAAAACATCGAAGTTTTAATTTTTAACATCGATGATCATCGAACATCCCTATTTTAAGCGTGTTTCCCACTCGGCGTGTGTTATGCGACGATCGTAAATAAAGCGCAAGGTCAAATTTACGCGTTGCAGGATTGGACATCAGTATTGATTGTTTTGCACATGGCCAACTATATGTTGCTTTTTCCCGCGTTATTAGTCCCCGTAACCTTTTTCTGTACGACCCGGCTAAGTCTACTTCTAACGTCGTTTACACTGAAGCTCTATCATAAACGACTGAGAAATAAGCATATCGATTTATTTTGTTACCACTTATTGATACAGTAATGATATAAATCGTTATCCTACCCTAAACGTTAAATTCTTTAAGTAAAACACACGGAACAAGTATTTGTATGGCCTACAAATAATTGTTCCGGGTCTGGATGTTTGTCCTCGTGCAATTTATGTTTGTAAACTGCCTCCACGATACAGGAGAATATCTTAATATCGAGTTAACGTTTTTTTTTTAAAAATAAGTTTGTACGTTGCTGGCGAAGACTTCAAGATAACCAACAACTCATGCTACCATAGCTACAAGTACCATAAGCGGCTCGCAACCTGTAATCTATTTATTAATATAAATAAAATTGAGGTGTCTGCGCTACTTGAAATATTTTGAATGTTTCAATAAAAATTTTAGATTGTACTGTATACTTTGTATTGTACTGTATACTTAGTTAGTAGTATATAATGGAATACTACTAACTAAGTATACAGTATGGAATAACTGGTTTCTAATAAGTTTAGGGGGATTATTTGTATGCTATTAAGACATATATAATCATTTTTAAAAGTTTTGTCTACTTGTCTGTTAATCTGTCTATCTGTCTGTTTGTCTATCTGCCGGGCTAATCTTCGGAATGGCTAAACCGATTGTAACGAAACTTTACGAACAGATAGAAAGCAACGCCAGGAAGAATCTAGCCTACTTTATCAGGATAACTAGATTAAAAAAAACGATTGATAACATAAATGTTCTTTGATTATCTGTATAAATAAAATGGTAGAGGTTTGCAGTTGTGCGCGCATCGCGGAAAAACTACTGCATAGATTTCAATTAGGTTTTCTAAGTTTTATTTCTTATACACTTGGCACTTATCTAAAAAAATATTGCGATAACTTCATTTAATATAAAGTTATTAAAGTTTAAAGAAACGACGATTTTTATAACCACTACGTGTTCAGTGATGTGTATAAACAACGCGGACGAAGTCGCTGGTATCAGCTAGTCTATACAAATAAATAAAGTTGAAGTGTCTGTTCTTAGTGTCAAAATTACAGCTTTTTACTAAATGCATATGAAAGTATATACGGTACTAATAACAAAAATACACTTTAAAGTTTTTGTTTGTCTGTCCGTCTGTTCGTTCCGGCTAATCTCCGAAACGGCTGGACCGATTTTGACGGGATTTTCACTGGCAGATAGCAGATGTCACAAGGAGTAACTTGGGCTACTTTTATTTTAGAAAAATAATTAGGATTCCGCGCAAAAAATTAAAACACCAAATAACACGCGGTCGAAGTCGCGGGGAACAGCTAGTACGATAGTAAAATCCCTCCCACAATAACGAATTCGCCTCGTGCATATTTTTATGTGGTCAGTCAGACTATTTTGTAGGATACCTGCAAGTCGAAATAATTTTTTGAAAGGGCTTAGTGTGAAATAAAACGGAATTGTAGACATAGTTTAGCGTAGCACATCATTACCGTAAGTGGGCGGTTTTCATCCATGAAGTACAACAATATCTGTGTGACAGTTTATCTAAAAAAAAATACGAAACTTCATAGGCGTGAGTTGTCAAAATTATCAAGCTAAATTTGACAGAGTTTAGAGGCCATTCATTAATTATGTAAGGGTCCGGAGGGGGGGGGGGGGGGGGGGGTTAAAAAAATCTACAAAATATTACGTAACATTTTGTAAGACGAAATTTAATATTAGAAATCTAGTTCCATTTCGAATGCCGAATGATTTTCTTCATTCTACACTAGTCACAAAAAATTAGGGATATAAAAAGAAACCATTATACTTGGTAGAGTCGTACTGCAGCTATATCAGTAGTATAGTATAGGCAAGAATAGTTCCGCTCGACCGGGGAAGGACCACGCTCTCACAGAAGACCAGCGTAAAATACTAGCTTAACACTGCTGTGTTTCGTATGGTGAGTGTAGAGAACCGGAGACCCTTTTTACTGGTAACGAGGCATTCCATCTTAGTCCTCACGGGTGACAACGCATCTGTATTTTGATTCGTAATCGAGGATAGATGTAGATGTCTATCGGCCGCACCAACCATTTACCATCAGGTGGACTATGTGCTCGCTTGTCACCCTTATCCTATAAAAAAGTCACTTATTAAATACTAGAAGAGGTGTTGAAACTTGATTGTTTGCAACATGCTTTAGAGCTCACGGGCTCAAACTTCTTTAGCCTTTACCATAAAAAAGATATGACTTTTTCCATGCACCCCTCACTGCTTTCGCGGTGTTGGTTCCAAAATACAAATAGTACATATTATTTGAATGATTGAAACGCACTTCGGCGTATGTGCAGGCGTACCACAGCGAGGAGGGCGGCGGGTCGCGGTCGCCGCGCGGGCGCCGGCGCGCGTGCTCGTGCAGCCCGGGCGAGCGCCGCGCCGCGCGCGCCGACTCCGTCACCTCCGCCTCGTCCGCCGCCAGCGCGCCGCCGCGCCTCGACGAGCGCCTCGCCGCCGCCGCGCTCGAGGCCGCCGCCGCGCTGCTCGCCTCGCAGGTACCGCTCGCACCGCGCACTGCCGCACTCCCGCCCGCCGCTCCGTCACCTCCGCCTCGTCCGCCGCCAGCGCGCCGCCGCGCCTCGACGAGCGCCTCGCCGCCGCCGCGCTCGAGGCCGCCGCCGCGCTGCTCGCCTCGCAGGTATCGCTCGCACCGCGCACTGCCGCACTCCCGCCCGCCGCTCCGTCACCTCCGCCTCGTCCGCCGCCAGCCCGCCGCCGCGCCTCGACGAGCGCCTCGCCGCCGCCGCGCTCGAGGCCGCCGCCGCGCTGCTCGCCTCGCAGGTATCGCTCGCACCGCGCACTGCCGCACTCCCGCCCGCCGCTCCGTCACCTCCGCCTCGTCCGCCGCCAGCGCGCCGCCGCGCCTCGACGAGCGCCTCGCCGCCGCCGCGCTCGAGGCCGCCGCCGCGCTGCTCGCCTCGCAGGTACCGCTCGCACCGCGCACTGCCGCACTCCCGCCCGCCGCTCCGTCACCTCCGCCTCGTCCGCCGCCAGCGCGCCGCCGCGCCTCGATGAGCGCCTCGCCGCCGCCGCGCTCGAGGCCGCCGCCGCGCTGCTCGCCTCGCAGGTATCGCTCGCACCGCGCACTGCCACACTGCCGCCCGCCGCTTCGTCACCTCCGCCGCCAGTGCGCCGCCGCGCCTTGCCGATCCGAACGACAGCAGCAGCTCTGATTACTTATACCCGTGAAAAATTTACGAAATCATTATTCCGTGTTCCTCTGTTTCCTCCTCTAAAACTTGACAGTTATTTTTAACGAACAACATTAGTCAACACAAGTCCACTGCTGAACATAGGTGTCTCCCAAGGAATGCCACAAAACACTATCCCGAGTCGCCTGTCTATCGAATGTTCATGTGAAGTGCCTAATAACAGCGGTCTATCTGGGCAGTTTTAATCATTTTAGAAAGTTTCTAGTTTTTGAAAAAATAAATTTATGGAAAATTAAACATATAAACAAGGCTTTAATAGATACATAGATTTTATGGTAGAAAAAACGATCTAGGATCTCTAGTGTCATTATTTAGGTAGAAAACACACCACAACAACGCCTTGATATATTTTTACTTTTAACCAAACATGTTTAATATAGAAATTTCTGCCACACATTTGATCTCTTTAATAAAAATGATTCTTATATATGGGCGCAAAACTTATGGCACTACCAATTAAACGAATGCGTCGTTAGTAGTTATACTTTAAATGAAACTGGTTTTACGGATTTTATCGCATTTAATTTTTACTTTTTAATTCCCGCGTTTTTAAATTAAACGCGATAGAATCTGTAAAATTTGTTTAATTTATTATATACTATATACTTTAGTTAAAAGATAGGGGTATACCTATCTAATTCGCGTAATATATTGCAGGCTCTTCTGGCAGTACGAGATCACAGCGTCCCGTCTCGTCACAAGCAACTGGTACGACGTGAATTAGCATCAGAGCTAACAGTATTCCACGATTTCGTTCGCAAACGAATATTGTGCGCAGCTCATACGCGGCCACACCTTGTACGCAACAAACTGGGAGCGTGGCCATTGCCGCCTGACGAGGAAGAACTCAAAAGGATTGAGGAGGCGAGAAAAGAAAGAAATATTTCTGCAGACGAAGAAGAACGATCGTTGCCCCCACCACCACCTCCCAAACGTGCCTCACACGATTCAATGCGTGAATATATTTTACGGAAACACTATTTAAATAAATGTGCTAAAACCCCCATAAAAGAACCACCTTCGCCTGTATCGCACTCTACACCAACCACAGATAAGAAAAAAGAAACGTCAAGAAGTTCCAAACGTGTTTCTTGGGCAGAAACTACAAGGGACAGCGATGAAAATCTGGATAGTTCGTTACAAGAAATTGAACCAGTGTATTCAAATTTAACTGACGTACAGATAAACAACGATGAAGATTTCTTTCATTTCATGTCGGTTGTTTTTCTTTATGTATGTCAAACTGACTTGTAATGCCATTGATGTAATAAATCAAGTTTTATTTTATGTATTTTCATACCAAATAATGTGTAACTTTTTCTACGTGTTAGAGCGACACTGAAGCAGTATCGGTTTTAAGATTCAGGTTCAAAAACACCAAAATTGCTTTTGTGGTGTCATATTTCTTTTTATATAATTACTTCGATCGTAACATTCGACAACAAGATAAAATAGCTACATAATGTTTTTAGCGTAATTATCATTTTTGTACTACTCCATGTAATTCAATACAAATTCGAGTCAAAATGAGCGAAGCTCCTGAACCGGTAAAATTTTTAAAGTTAAAAAAGTTACCAAGCGGTTAAACAGCTGCATACGGTGACACGAAAATGTGAGTAATGATCCAAAAGCAAGTATTTATCATCCAATATTATTCAGGTGCTATCTTGGATGTTAGCTTGAGTGAGATCATAATGGCTCTTGGGCATCTCAAAAACTGCAAGAAGCCGGTGAGGATGGAGTGGACATCGGAGTCACTGAAAGTAGGTAGAGAACTGGTATTTTTAAGTCCATCACATGTTGTTTAAATCATGCTTCTCCAGTTTCATGGAGGAGAAGTGTGATGGTATATGGCAATCTGCTACTTTGTCTTACAAATATGAACCATGATAAAGCCTTTGATTCCGTAGCAATTTAGGCGGTGCTACAGTCCCTTGGATGGTGTCGGATTGACTGCTGGTGTATCGAAGTGCCAAAGTATGTATACAACAGCTACAATAACTATCCCAAAAACCAGAGTACGTATGTATGTGCACCGCTGCATTGTAATACACCACTCATTTCGACTGCAGGATTGATGGAGACCCTTAATTTAGAAGTATGCTCAATGACGGTTACGTCTTGAGAAGACAAAAATTATGTTTAACGTCTTTGTCAAATATGCCATTCATTGACAAGAGCAATGTATTTGTTACGTATTTGTTACGAAACTAGAGAAAATTTCAAGAATAATAGTGTTTTTATTTTTCCTATCATAAAAAATTGCTGAGATAATGAAGACTAAATTGCACATTCCCGCGCGATGTTATAGTAAAAATTCGGTCGGCCGGACAAAGCACGGTGACGTCATCTCTCGTGTCTTGCCGCGTTCTAATAGGGGACTAAATGCTCGATGAAGGGGACTTACTATTTTGATCACTCATCGCTGTGATTATTATTTTAGACTAAAATTGTCATAAGAATTGTGTCGTCCCCGAGCCCCGAGTGTTACAATACGACCAAAAACCACCAAATAAATTGTTTTATATGGGTCCTTACTAGCCAAATATCAGGAAAAAAGTGGATGATCGTTTTATAGAGAGCAGATTAATTGGAAAACTACCGCATTCTATCATTCGCAAAATTACAGCAAATTTTATATTATTGTGTGTACACACCCTGAGCTGCCCCAACATAGGTAGACTGGACTAGGGCCCATCATTAGCCCAATCGACGGACAGCAGAGGACGGGGCCCAACGGCCTATGAAGACTTATCATTCTACACAATAGATATAAGGCTAGGTAAACAAATAGTACGTACCTGGTTCCGAAGCTAAGACTGCCCCAAGGCTCGGTCAGGCGGTAGGTAGGTGTAGGTGCATGTAAGTGGTGTGTAGTAGTGATTATATATGTGACCTGATCCAACTGAGGTGATCGGGCAGCGGCCTGGTCCGGTGCTGCCCCACAATGTGATTTCACTCCAGCGGACGTCACCAATTGACAACTTCTTTCTTCATCTCACTATTTCAGTCTATCAACTTTGTTGTACACTATTTGAATCCATCAACTTTATTGTACATTTAACTAACTTCAAACTCAACTAAATCCCCGTTAATCGTAATCAAAAACTTAACACACGGTGGATCAAATTTCACTTCAGTTTTCACTCGGCAACAAATTATTTCTAGAACCGAACACGACCTTCTCTAGGGTCACAAAGTTCCGCGTTACAAACAACAAACTAAATTCCTTCGTACGATATTAAATACTACGCCCGCATTAAGACTCAAAATCCACCTAGCTGACACGCAAACTAACTACATAGTCAACACACAAAAGGCACTTAACGAGACGTCACAAATCAACTTTAACTTCCAAAAACAATTAACCGGGCCACGCCCTCGGCGTGCGCGCAAGGTTCCACGTCACACAAGCAAGTTAAATATTGCAAAAATGCACTTCCACATGCAATCACTATACAATTGACGTAATTACTTTCAAACGAATCAGTCAAATTCTGCAATCCTCTTGTCACGAATGTACAACTTAGACAGATTAATTCGATATTCAATAGCGAATAGCGAATTAAACGCGAACAAATACTCAAAATCTAGACCACAAAACCAAAACTGGTGTGGAAGCAGAGTTGCGCAGTGGAAGCGTGCTGAGCCCATAACCCAGAGGTCCGTGGATTGAAACCACGCTCTGCTACCACAACAATGTACACGCCCCTAGCTGCCCCAACAAAAGTTCGACCCTACAGGGGCCCATACAGCTGTAGATTCGACGAACAACTAAGGGTGGGGCCCAACGGCCTATGGAGACTTATTATTCTACACAATAGATATAAGGCTAGGTAAATAAATAGTACGTACCTGGTTCAGAAGCGAAGACTGGCCACAAGGCTCGGTCAGGCGGTAGGTGTAGTGTATGTAAGTGGTGTTTAGTTGTGTGTAAAATTTGAAACCTGACTTAACCCTTTTAAGCGGCAGCAGCCCTGACGCCGGCACCGCCACACGGTGTGGTATCCTCCAGCGGCGTCACCTCGATGTCACTCAAAGTCTAGCGTCCCTTAGCACAAATCTATAATCTAATACGAACGCTGTTTCTCGCGGGTCACAAAGTTTAGCGTTTTTAACCGACACAGAAAAATATCTCCGAGTTACTTCAAATTTTTTTTTTTTTTTTTTTTTTTTTTATAGAATAGGGGGCAAACGAGCATGCGGCTCACCTGATGTTAAGTGACTACCGCCGCCCATGAACAACCGCAACACCAGGGGAATTGCAGATGCGTTGCCGGCCTTTTAGAAAGGTGTAAGCTCTTTTCTTGAAGGTTCCTAAGTCGTATCGGTTCGGAAAATTCGCTGGTGGTAATTGATTCCACAAAGAAGTTGTGCGAGGGAGAAAACTTCTTCTAAATCGCACAGTGGTGGACCGCCAATCATCCAGATGGTATGGATGGTAACGCGAGTTTTGTCGCGACGTGCGATGGTGAAATTGAGCGGCTGGAATTAGTCCGAACAATTCCTCAGAGCACTCCCCGTGATAGATGCGATAAAATACGCAAAGAGATGCAACATCTCTACGCAGTGCCAGTGTATCGAGCCGATCGGAAAGAACTCGGTCGTCGACGATTCGAATCGCTCTGCGCTGGATGCGGTCAAGTGGAAGGAGCTGGCACTGGGGTGCCCCGGCCCAGAGATGAGAACAGTATTCCATGTGGGGCCGAACTTGCGCTTTGTAAAGTTGCAAGCGATGTGCCGGCATGAAATACTGTCTCGCTCTGCTGAGCACGCCAAGCATTTTAGAGGCCAATTTGGCCTTCCCTTCCAAGTGACCACGAAACTGCACGCTATTCGATATGTCGACGCCAAGGATTCCGATACTGGCTGAGGCAGCAAGGGGAGTGCCTTGAAACTGAGGAGATACGACAAAGGGGTTCTTTTTAGCGGTAAACGCGCAAACTTGTGTCTTCTGGGGATTGAACTGGACTAGATTTAGTCGGCCCCAATCCGAGACTTTGTTAAGCAAAGACTCGACTTCAGACACAAGTTTGTCCCGGTACTCGGCGACGTTTTCCCGAGAAATATTGGCACGGCCGGTATATAAGGCATCCCCAGTGCTGTCGTCTGCATAGCAATGAATGCTACCAGTTAGCAACATATCATTGATATGCAGGAGAAACAGCGTTGGTGATAGCACGCAGCCTTGTGGAACACCAGCGTTGATAGGCTTGTAATCAGAGCATGCACCGTCTACTACGACCTTGATGCTCCGATCAGCAAGGAAACTGGTGATCCATTTGCACAATTTCTCGGGAAGCCCATAGGAAGGAAGCTTCGAAAGAAGCGCCTTGTGCCAGACCCGATCGAAGGCCTTCGCTATGTCCAAACTAACGGCCAATGCCTCCCCCTTGGACTCTACTGCCTCCGCCCATCTATGAGTTAAGTAAACTAAAAGATCACCTGCTGATCGACCCCGACGAAAACCGTACTGACGGTCACTGATCAGCTGGTGATCCTCAAGGTACCTCATGAGCTGGCAGTTTATAATGGATTCCATTATTTTGGAGAACAAGGAGGTGATGGCGATAGGCCTGTAGTTGGACGGGTCTGAGCGGTCGCCTTTTTTAGGGATCGGGTGGACCAAAGCTGTCTTCCATGAATTCGGGACTACGCCTTGGGAGTAGGAGTACCGGAAAAGACGCGTTAAAACCGGTGCCAACTCCGGAGCACACGTCTTCAGCACAATGGGAGGGACTCCATCGGGCCCACTCGACTTGCTGACGTCCAGGGAGAAGAGTGCTTTGCGAACCGAGCGCTGTGTAAATCGCACATCCGGCATGGAGCACTCACATCGCGGGATGGTCGGCGGTGTGTTCCCCCCGTCATCTAGAGTCGAGTTGGACGCAAAAAGAGAGCACAACAGATCGGCTTTCTCTTTTGCGGCATGGGCCAGTGAGTCGTCCTCTCTGTGCAGAGATGGGAGGGATGGCTGACAGAAGTTCCCTTGGACAGCCTTGGCGAGAGACCAGAATGCACGGGTTCCCGAAGGAAGGCGAACTAGCTTCTCGCCAATTCTGCCGATGTGCTCAGACCTTGCCTTGGCAATGACGCTTTTGAAGGACCTGGAGGCGGAATTATACTTCTTTTTAAGTGCGCTGTTGTTTAAATCCCGAGACGTTGATGCGTCAGCCCAGGCCCGGTAGCACTCCTGCTTATAGCGTGATGCTATTTTACAGGAGCGACCAAACCATGGCTGGGATCTGCCTCCG